TAGCGCCATAAGAGTAGATCATAACCTATCACGCGCTTCCGAATTCCATAGGCAACCCAGAATTTCACCCAGCATATGTCGACTTTGCTGCTCACCGCAGTAGCCAGTCTGTTCGCCACTCCCTGGTCACCGCGATGGACAGTCACAGGTGCAGCTGATTGCAGCAGTGGTCTGGAATGATATCCCTTCATGCAGGCCACTGATCGGCTGTATACAGCGCATACTGCGTGTGAATGCATTCTTCGACGTACCGACTGTTTCAAGGTATTGGTCCATGCCAGCCACGCAGCCATGTAGGTAAGGAGCCTACGGCGATGGCATATAAAGCTGGCGAGGGAACGCCGCAGTGATTGTCAAACACCGTCACAATCCGAAGCATTTTCTGCCTTTGACGACCACTTCAATAACTACCATGCTGCCTTGGAATCCGTTTCTTGTTTGTGAGATAGAGGTCAGCCCCAATGGCGGTCCTGGCTCTTGTTGCGGGACGACGAAAAAAGGCGAGCCGTGCAAAAACTCGATCAAAGTTGAAGACACCAAGATCGGCCATCAAAAGTTGACCACTCTCGCCAGAGAGCCGTTTGACTTGTTATCGTTGCAGTCGAAGCTCTGTGATATCGCCAGAGACTTCCTCTGCGCGAGATGGCACCGGCAACGGCAGGCCGACCAAGTTGGCCAGCAGTGGTATGAAGCCGCCGTCTGCAACCAGGCGCGAGTACCACATGGCTCCAGAATGGCTTCTCCGTCAGTCATTGTACACCGGAGCCAGCGTCAGATATCGTCAGCCTCCAGGCGACGCCCTGCATCAGACAACACCCGGTCATCACCACCACCGGTGCCCCTGTCAACCAACCTCGAGCCAGTGCAGCCATTCAATTCATTTGTGACTTCTGCAATGCTGCGGACGAACAGCGTTCCATGGCGTGTTTCGCCGGCCCAACCGGCTATTCTGGCGTCGGTCGCTAATATCCGGGCGGGTTTCCAAGAATTGACTCTCCAGAGTCTCGCCCCGAGTGAAGAGGTCGACAACATCCACTGCGTGTTTTGCCTGGCCGATGATGAAGACCATGCGAACGAGCATGTGATCTTGCGCTGCCGTCAGTGTACATCGCTCTGCCATCTATCCTGCGCGGAAGAATGGTTCGAAAAGCGAGATACAGGCTTTAGCACCTCATGCTGTGTGTGGTAAGTGTGGATGACCTTTATTCTGCGACCAGGATACTGATGATTACAGTCGAAACGAAGGAGCCCTAGATGCCTTGATTCGCCCTTTACCAGTCACCTCATCGGATGCCGAAACACATTCCGTCCACACAGCAAGCGAATCGTCTCCCGCTAGTGGGCCCCGTCGCTCAGCCAGACTGGCAAGGCCTCATCTACCGGGAGACCCGTCCACCTCTGCACTGCTTCGCCGGTCGGCACGACTCTCCGCTCTGCGTGGGTGATCGTAGGGTGCAGGCGAGGTAAGATGGGAATAGAACAAGGGACGGCCAATCGCACGCGAGTGCACCTGACCGACACTCGGCATCGTGACCAGCAACTGTCGCCATAGCATTGATATAGATTTTTGAAGCAAGCCTACTGTAGCAAGAAATGAGATCCCGATTTTTTAGACTTCAGATTACAAGGCGGCCGTTCATCTTTGCAAGTGCTGGACACCACTAGACCTTCGTCAAAATTTACTGGCTGCGTCGCTCAATTCGAATCTGACATAGTTACCTTACCAGCAATGACAAAAAGACACGGATTCAGCTCAGTGGAGCCGCGTCGAATAAGGCGGAGATTGTTGACAGAAAACGCAACTCGTGGGGCTGGAGCAACTGAGAGATTGCTGTGCTTGTTGAATTGACTGTGGAAATCACTATGTTGACCCTGGGAACCTTAAAAGCATTTCTAGGAGCTGTTTATCCCCTAGGAAATACTCTCGAGATCCTGGGGCTTTTTCTATTTCTAGGAAAATGAGGTCTATCCCTGGGATCTTCACCTTTCGTTCCTGACTGGATACGGAACTGGCTCTGGGAATACATTGACCAGATCCGGGAGCTGTGGAGACCCCGGGAGCTTATTTTAGGGCCCTAGAGTCACTCTCTTGCCTTCCGAGATCGCCGAAAGCCCTCACAAAACACCTTCACCGGACCTGCGCACAATTCTGCGTCATTGGATCCCCCAGGAGGCCAAATCATCGCCCCAGGAATCAACAAGTCGTCAACAGGAACGCGGCTTTGATTCCCCGTGGTGGTGATAGCAGACCCCAGAAGCTACATCGGGTTTCCTGGGGCTATATGGCTCCTAGAAGCTGCTTCTTTGCTCCCAGAAATGTTTCAGGAGCCCCTGGGAGTAAGATAACTCCCAGGGTCAAGAGATGAGCTCATAGCACTGATCGAATCGTCAATAGGAGCGTGAGAAGTTTCTTGATAGTAACAGTGGATAGTCTTACGAGCCGCGAATAAAACCCGTGTAGTTGACTCTATGTTCACACTGGCATATGTTTTCTAAATATTACGTATCCATGGCTTCAAATGGCGTTAACTCTGAATATTCGACGTTGAGTATCAGTTATGCAACACAATTCCATCGCCGAGCGGAATTCAATAACTCATATGATATTCATCCTACAGGATTTCATCAATCAATCATAGATAGTTCATAGCGATTTCCAGATCTCCAGAGCTCGCGGAAATCACGAAGCATAATTTGGATCACCCTGTAGGAATAGTTGGAGTGGATATGAACGTTCCTCGATCAATCCATCCAGTTCATTGGCTATGGCAAGGCTTGTTTGCTTGCAACCCCACCATCCTCATTTCTTGGTTTGAGTAAGGGGAAAACGGCTTTTACAAGAGAGGTATGTAAATTGTCAATAATCATGTACCTAGTAACAGATGTGGGCCTCATCGTCGCACTCTATCTCTTGTGGACAAGTCTCTAGCGTAGCATATCTCTAAGGAGCCAACAGTAAGCCGGGAAACTATCCCATATTGTTTGATTTTGCTACAGTACGTTAAGTCATTTAGTTCCTCATCTTAAATGTTGAGGGCTGGGAATGGACTGACCGATTGCATATCAACGTCTATAAATTTTCCACCTTGAGTATATATAATGAATCCACCCCCAGCGGAAAAAAAAAAGAAGACCACACTAGAATTGGCTGCCTTCACATCATTTTATAATAATGCATTGCAAAAATCTCTCACCTCGGGCTAGACATGGTTCGTATGTCCCGGTGGAATGAATACGCCTTGCTTACAGCAATCAGATTGGAAACGTGCGTAGGACTATTGCTTGGCCTTTGAATCACAATTCTTTTTGAAAAGGTGGAGAGAAGGTTATCGTATGACGAAGGCGATGATGATGTCCCGCGTTCAGATGTCGTCTCACGCCTTTGATCTTAAGATCGCGCATTACAAAGATGTTTCGTGCCAGGCTAAAGGCTTCCGACGCCAAGTCAAGAAGGGGCTTTTAACGGCCAAAGAGATGGAAGAGAAAAGGCAAACTGTTTACAGTCTCTATGCTGATGCTATGAATGACCTCGAGAGATGGACCGGTAAGGGTTCTAAACTGTTAGTAACGCAACATTGGGAAACTAACTTTTTGCAGAGTACCGGTTCCCACTATATTGGACATGAGCACTTGAGCATAGACTACAGTGAACGACGGAGCCGCCATACAGTATTTTTAAAAGACCTACAAACGGCAGGGTGGTATGATCAAACAGCAAAGAAAGGAGAATCATCAAGCATTCCGTGCCATTCGCTTCCTACTCCAACAAGTATGCTGATTTGATAAAATCCCTTTTTGTTTTTGTCTATTTTACACTCTCCTGTTCTTCGGAAATAGAGTAATTAACACGTAAGCGGTGGAGGAACAACTAAATGTAGAGAATCCCCTCAGCACTGATGGATTTCGGTTGAGTGATCACCATGCGTTTTGACCTAATCTTATCTCCGTTTGCTTATAATCTATATATTATGGGTAATGGATCAGAGGACTGATGATAAGACTGGCCTATGTTGGTTTGTCGACACAGCTTGACAGCGAGAGCAACCACGACACGAATTCGAACTGCAGTGTTCTCCAGACTGATACATCTCAATTGTCTGTTAGGTGAGGCCACAGTGGGACTTTATCAGAGAGGTGAAGACACGCGATGTGTCCTCTGCAGTGCTGGTGGAAATGGTACATGATGATGATGAGGAATACAAGATTCTAGAAAGTGTTTCAACGGTTTACTTTTATGATGCTCCTCATAATAATGGTGTCAGTTCCAAACACGGAAAACCACTAAATTGAGTGGATCCAAAAGATTCTTCAAGACCCGAGTAGCTATTAATGACCTGAAATTTATGATATATGGGATGCTTTTCACCTCCGGGAGGCGTCGTGAACTCCAGTGGCTAATCGTTGAGCCGTCCACTATTGAGCGTTTACTCACCAGTATACTAATCCGCTTTGAAAACATAGTGAGTCTGGTATTCAAACTCGCAGGATCAAACCCAGGTCTTAAATCCTGATATGTAGGCTCTTCCCATTCTATCAAGCAAGCCAACCCTGAAAAGCCCCCACCGACCACATCACTCAGCATAGAAAGAAGAAAAGTATGTTTTATCTGGTAAAACCACGTAAATTCATTAAAGTGACACAGGCGAGTTTCCACGCCAGCAGAGCAAGTTGATCATTTTTTTCCCATGTTTTTAACTCCCCGATTCGCTCACATGATGATTTTTTTTCAAAAACTTATTTACATTGCCTGAACTTGCTATGTTGAAACCCTTTTCAAACCGATCACGAGCACAATTTTGCAATTTTGGATTCATCAGCACTGCTGTCGTTCATTTGGCTAATCCAACGTCACAGGTTATCTATGGAAGCGTGGCACTTGCTGGATCGGAGGGTCAAGCTTTGCTCGAGTCTGCTGTGAACAAATTCATTCAAGCAGAAGGTCCCGAGGCTATCGTCCTCTGGTCTCTAAAGATACACTCATAGGGGTCGTCTCAGCACTGATGAAACCAGGTGGCGACTTGACAACCGCCTTCCTACTTCCGCTTCCCCCGTCGAGCCTTGATCTGGCATTTGAGGATGATACCCTCGACCTTGTCAAGCAGGCGTGGAAGAAGATCATGGGAGATGAAGTAGAGGATGATGATTTTATGATTTTTGAGATCGCGATGGCGCTTCCGACCAATGATGCGTAGCATAGCATTGTTTCACGATTTACTATACCATTTTGCACGTAGGATATCAAAACATAGTGGAATTGATTCAATTCCAAATTACCAATGTTTGCAACCCATCGCATCAATAATCCTACGGCGCAGGTTATCTGGACGTGGCTCAGTATACTCATACTCCATGATGAAACTCCATGTGAACATCAAGCCTCATTTGCCTGTGCCACTTGATAACCAGATTTCACACCGTTCATGCAACATCTGCAGCATAGGTGGGGCGTGACGCACCCCATACGTCATTCCCTGGAATGCTCCAAATTGATGTAGATCCTGATTTATTGACTTTCATCTTTCTTCTCTGATGGTTCCTACAGTTATCTGCTTCGGTCTCCTTTCCAAATCGAGCACGGATTCCTCTCAGCGTTCATGATGCCCCTCGATAATGCCACCAGCGGGCTTACCGGTCAACTTCCTGTGAACCAATCTGTGAACCAAGTCCAATCAACAGCCAGCGGAGCGAAGAAGAATGTAAAACCGAGGAAGTTGAATCAAACGACCAAGGACCTGACGGAGCCTGTTGTCCCCGGCGAATACCCTTCAGATGACGCTCCCCCCAAAAAAGAAGAAGTCGATAGCGATGTGTCTTTCTCAGGGATGTGGGCCACCATCGTATCATGTGTTTCCTCTTTATTCCCTCAAGCTTTTGACGCCTTTGAATCCTGGATCCGGTATATGGTGTCCTGGTTGCTTCCTCCGCCCCGACAAGCTGCAATATATGAAGCTGCGCTCAAGCGCCCCGCTGCGACGACGTTTATCATTTGTCAGATGATATGCTGTGGTGTTCCCTTGTTGATATTCCTCGCTGGTGTATTTGTCTTTGCGGCTGTCTCGATATTGCTTTGGGCGATTCTGTCGCTACTTATCCTTGGTCCGGTATTGTTGGTCACCAGCATGATGGGTATTTCGCTTTGGGGCTGGGGCTGGGTCTTCTATGGCTTGGTTAAATGGGTTGATCAGCGGTTCTTGGGTGGTATGATCAGTCGCTTTTGGATTCCTCGGACACAAGAAGGAGATAAGGGAGAGGGTGGAGAGGAACAGTCTGAAGGAGAGAAAAACGACGAGTAACGTTAATGACTTCTGTCCGTAACCATTTATATACATTGTCTTATTCACATCGTGCGCAAAATTGCAAAATCGGTTTAGCGAAGACAGCTGCTCTCTGCATGCTTGCTTACACAATTTGAAGAGACACAGGGCTCCAGCAAAGCTCTCAGGCATCGTATATGTGATGTTGTAGAAGCTGAAGTTGTTGACTGAATGATCAGTGTTATATGGCATAGTGTAATTTGGCAAGGCATTCGTTGTCAACTTGACATTCAACCCAGGAACATGCAGGCGTTGAATAATTGAACTAGCTTTTCTCGAATCATCGGTATCTCGACAAGGTTGTGCCAGAGAGAATTCGGTATACCATCCTCTATTGGTGCCTTTCCTGCTTTCGCTCCTCTCCCTGCTTCCTGTATCTTGCGCCGGGACTGGTGGAAACTCGATCTGTTGCGGGTACTGAAATGCGACAGTGTCAGACAGGCATGCTGGTGGTGGCTGTGGGAAGAAAGCAGCCCGGAAGGCTTCTGCCTTTCGCTCAATTGTTTCCGCGAGGGCTCCAGGCGCTTGGGGATCTTGGATTTCAATGAGGGGTGATCCCCAATGTATATAGGGCAAACATGAGATAATTCGACATTTTCGAGCATTTTCGACATTGAAATAAAATAAAATCATGACGATATAGAGGTAGCAGCGAACGGTACATAGGCCCAGATTCTTTGGCAGCCCTCACTTCCCTATGTGCCTAAGAATGGTAATATTACCGCAAGCCAACCACGGGAAGGTACTCTCACAGCAGAATTCCTCTGCCAATTCTTTGATTCACCTTTCCGATCTAGTGCGATTAGGAGCACAGAGTAATGATCTAGCAATTCATATAAACCTGGTAAACCTGGATGTCCCTGCCCTGAAGAACAACGAATCTAGTGGAGACTAATGGTTTGTTATTGTCTGCCACACAAGTTAGCAAGCCAGGAAATAAACCCAGCCTACGAAAGGAAACTGACACATACAGTAGTTGCAGCGTTAGGTCTCCTCTGATCTTTGCTTTCAACTCAACTTCCACATCCAGATTCAAGTCCAGCCTCAACTTTAATTGATCGTTCTTTGTCGACTGTGGCTTTACTTCCGTAGACTCCGTCACTTGCTCAACAGCTCCAGTTGCTGCTTTTGGAACAAGTTGACCGGCCCGCTCTAGCTGGCCCTGGGTTTCCGGAGGGTTGAGTATGTGGCTCACACGCCTTTCCTGTGCCGTCCGTTGTTCCAAACTTCTATTGTCCCTTTGCTCGCGCACGACGCCTTGTTCCTGATATGGATCTTGTAAATGTGTCAATGTTCGACGGGGTCTCCGGTAGTGTCGAGTGCGCTGGTTCTGATTTTCAACCTGCGGTGCAGCCTGAGGTGAAGGTGGTTGTCGGTCATTCTGTCTTGGATCTGTGGAGTCGCTACCCAATTTTGCAGAAGGGGAACTTGATTTGGTAGAGTTTGGGACACCATTCACTCTTTGCTCATTAAAACCGTTTGTTTCTAGATCTGAAGTTGAACCCTTTCGCGGCTTGGGAGGTCGGAGTTTGGGGGGCTTCCTTTTCGGCGCGGAAGTACTCGCGTTACCATTCGCGTTTTGAATATCATGCGCCTGCATTATAATAACAAAATATAGTCAAGTGCTGTATTAAATAAAAGGTGTGAATTGCTGTGAAATAGGATTTCTTTTGCTTAAGTTGCAATCGCATTCAATTCGCCTCGCTGACGTCAGCATAGGCCTGATCAGGACATAAAGGACAACAAGAATCTTGCCGAGTCTGGACTCTCGCAGGTGATGAGAGGCCCCATTAAGTCAACCACAGACATAGAAGCAAAGTTAAAACTTGTTTCAAGCTAACAAAAAAGTTCACTTTCAATCGTGCAATGCTCAGAGCTTTCGGTTGAGAACCACTGAAATGGTTCATACCCAAGGATCTGCAACGTCATGAACTATGGGAACCGTGGATGCGAGCCGTGAGTTGATTTTGTGATCGATTTTCATTTACCTGATTATATGCCTACAAGATTTGTTTCTCAATTATACATATCACTGAATATAGATACCGTCACTACACAGAAAAAGCCAACACTTCCAAAAGACACAGATCATTCGAGCGAAGAGGATGAATCTGATTTCTACACCGACCAGGAAGATTCTTTCCAAGACGATTACACAGACGAGGCCAATCACCTAGAAGGATCAAATCCCAATTCTGTAACGACATCCGAAACCGAGTCTATCGAAAGAGAAGCCTCAGCCCAAGATGATAGACACGCACCCACAACAGAAGTGGTTCGAAGAGAAACGAGCACAGTATCACCGGTAACCAGAGGAATATCTCCCATACAACCGATAACTGAGCGGAGCGGACAGGGGTAAGCGATAGTGAAAGATGATGGAACTGCATTGAGCTTGAGACTTGATCTAAACGTTGACATTGAGGTCGAGTTAAAAGCTAAGATTCGTGGAGATCTGACTTTAAGTCTTCTGTTAGTCCTTCATTATCATTTTCATACTATGGGAAGCATGAAGCTCATAATATGCAGGGCCTGATTGACTAGGAAATTGACGAACGCTACTGGCGTTAGGATGTGATTAGCTGTTTGCCTAGTCTGTAGGTATTGATTTACCGAGTCCAAGGATGTTGATTTATGATATTTGGAATTGCCTAGTGCCAACTCCAGGAAGAATCAGACATGATCCCCCTCTCTTTGACGTTAATATTGAACAGAAATCTAGGAGTTATTAGATCTCAGTGGCACAAGTGTCCAAGACAAAGTTGGTGTGGCAACACGATGGACTGGACGGATAGTTTCGGTCAATAAATTCCTTGGCATGGAGTGATGAGGCCGGGATCTTTCTATAATGACCAGGAGGCTTTGTGGTACCGCGGTATATCTTGTGTTGTCATCGAGTGCCCTCTTGCAACCCTCATATATCGATATAGTGTCGCTTGAGTCAGGGTCATTTATACCATGGTAAAATTTCGGAGCTCGGTTACAACTAATAATCAGTGGCCATTTTATGTGTAGCCCCCGGTGTGGCGAGTCGGCTAGTTCCTGGTCCCGATGGGGTATAACAATGATGATATCATGGAGAATATAAAATCTTACCCGTGGTGATAGATTATAAATTACATGCTCGAATATCTCCAATGTAATAATTTGGATTTAAGAACCCCTACTAGCCATCAACTTATACCTGCAAAACGAGAAAATAGTTCAAAGAAAACTGGTTGCCGAAAGCTGCAAAAGCGCAAGAACGAAATGGCATCACCAGCGACAAAGCGAATTCTATCAGCGAAAAAGCCTTTAGTACCTCCTAAGAAATTCATGGGAAGTGATCCAGCCTCCCAGAGCCCTATACCTAGCCAGGAAGCATCAGAGATCAAGCCTGCAAACCAGGCGAAACCCATCAACAAGCTCTCGACACCAACCACACTCAAGAAGAACATTCGAAAGTTGCCAAAAAGATCGAGAACTGAGGAATTGTCTCCAATCTCCCAAGAGAAAAAGGTGTCGCAAACCAAAATTCCGAATGTCGACACAACTGGGACACCAGATGAGGAAAATGCAGTCAACTTGGAATATGAGGAGCCACTGCCAATAAGAGAGACCACCGAAGAGCATGAAGAGGCGGTTGGAGCCCCAGAAGACACACAACAGGTGGCAGAAATTCCCTCTAAAGAGCAGAGAAAATCTGAAATGAAAAAAAGTGATTCCGCCTCTGGGTCGGGTGGTGGCTCATTATTCCAGCGAGGGAAGAATGCAGCCTCGCGTATTTCGGACTTTACAGGCACCGTCAGAGATCTCAGCAATCGGGCCACAGCTGAGGAATCCCGGGGCAGTTTCGACAACATTCAGGATAACATTCGAGGTGTCACCAAAAATTTCAAGCCTGACGAAGGGGGTGTTGCCAGCAAACTCGCGGAGAAGATTCCCAGCCTCCCCACAGATTTGTCTGAGTTGAGGGGGCTTGAGGTTAACGAGAAGGGACAGATCCTTGACGATGATGGCAATGCAGTTGGAACACTCGTCGAGGGCGAACCCAGCGACCTTGCTGGCCAGGTGGTTGGGGAAGGTGGTGAGATTTTAGATGAGGATGGCGATCTGATTGGCCGAGTTGAGCTTCTCAGCGATGAGACTGCAAAGCAGGCCAATGCAGTAGAAGAAGCGGTTGACACAGATAATGTCCCCAGCTTGCAGGACCTCGCAAATCTGCCACTCGCAGAGGACGGCTCAGTCAAAGACCAGGACGGTCGAGTATTGGGGCGCCTTGTTGAAGGTGACCCTGATGATTTGGTGGGCCGAACTGTTAATGAGAATGGCGAAATTCTCGATGAAGATGGAGACTTGATTGGGCGAGTTGAGCCTATCTCCCCAAAGCAAATCGAAGAGTCGGCCGGTGAAACCGAGCCCACTGGTGGCGCGTTACTTCCAGGGATTGCCATTCTTCGGGGCAGAGAAATCAACAGAAATGGCAAGATTCTGAATGCTGAGGGCGAGGAAATAGGCCAAGTCGTCGAAGGTCAAGATCCCAGGCACCTGTCAGGAAAGGTCCCAAACGAACAGGGTCAAGTGATGGACATCAACGGAGAGGAGATTGGACAGGTTGAACCAGTGCCAGGCGAGGCTGCAAATATTGCGATGCAAGAACTCGAAGACAAAAAGGCTGCTGTCGATAAGCAAAAGGGCTTCACAGATGCCAACAAATCACCCGAAATCTCCCAGGAATTACCTGACATATCCACGCTAGAAGGCCTGAAATGCAACAAGTTCGGATACATTATTGGCGAGGATGGTGTGCCAGTTGGTGAACTTATTGAGGGCAATCCCAAAGAGATATCCAAGGGAGAATTCCAGCTCGATGATCGTGGTCAATTCTGGGACAACAGAGGAAATATCTTGGGCGTAGCACAAACAATCCCAATTGAAGAGGAGGACCAGCGCCCTTTCGCAGGGTTTGAAGATCTTGTCGTGGTCAAAGATGGCTGGGTCGAAGACACAAATGGGGCCCGAGTAGGCCAGGTTGTTGATGGTGAGATCAAGAAGCTCGTTGGTCGGGCTGTTGATGACGATGGAGATATTTTGGATAAGAGAGGCAATCTCATTGGACACGCTGAGCCCTGGGAAGAGCCGGAGCCAGAGCCAGAAGAGGTCGATTTCTCTTTCTTGGAAGGTCTCTCGCCTAATAAGCTGGGCCTTGTTATTGGACCAGACGGCGCGTTGGTCGGCCGTGTAACAGAGGGGGACTTGAAAAAGGTTGCTGGTAGGACCATCGATCACGAAGGCCAGCTGTGGGGCGATGATGGCGAGGTTATTGGACGGGTTGAGCTGGTCCCGGAAGAGGAGCGTGAGGTGCCAGCTCCTTTTAGCGACCTGGGTGATCTGGTGGTCAGACAAGATGGGCTTGTTGAAACTGAGAAAGGCGTCGTTGTTGGCAGGATCATTGACGGAGATCCCAAAGAATTACGAGGTAAAGCTGTGGATGATGATGGAGACATCATGGATAAGCGTGGCAATGTGATAGGACGTGCTGAGCCATACACTCCATCCGAACACTCTGAAGAACCAGAAGAAGACCTGTCCGAACTTGAAGGGATGACAGTCAACAAGTTTGGAAACGTCGTTGACGAAACTGGCGCTGTGTTCGGGCGGCTTATTTCAGGAAATCCTAAAAAGCTGAATGGCAAGAAGGTGGACGGAGAAGGTCAGATCTGGAGTACTGATGGGAAAGTGCTGGGCAATGTTGAACTTATCCCTGCTACCGAGCGAGAGCAATCTGAAGGGGTGTTTTATGGGCTCGATCACTTGACTGCAACAAAGGATGGATATGTGATCACTCCAGAAAGGGAAGTGGTCGGTAGGCTGATCGACGGGGAGCCAACAAGACTTGTTGGTCGTGCCGTCGATGAAGATGGTGAAATTGTGGATAAAGTGGGCAATGTCATCGGCCGCGCAGAGCGATGGACCCCTGAGGAAAAGCAACGCGATATCAACCCGATGAGTGGCCGAAAGGTCAACCAAGATGGCGAGGTCCGCGACGAAGACGGTAACCTGATACAGTGCGTCCCGAAACTGGTGCAACCGGCTACACTCTTCGAGTGATTATTCAGCCCCACCGCCAAGAGGCACTAGGCCATAGTAGGAATAGCCCCCGAGTAATAATTTTCCTGTACCAGTCTCGATACGACGATTTACTTTGTTAAATACGGTTCCTCGTCTCGTAACTGTATTGGCGATCCAAGGGAACTAGAATTTTCCATAGAAATGCAAACAAGTCAAAACACTAGAGCTGGGAAGTGCGTCGAGAATCTGGCAACCTGTTACTTGTGTGAAAAACACTGGACCCTGATCAGCAAAAATACCCGATGGCTATTTTAGATTGGCTGATCGATGATGATATCTGCTGATGTGGAGGAGTTCAAGCTAGAACAAGTATGACGTATATTAGATCCTGACTCCACTCTTGACGCTACAGTCTATTACATCTAGCATTAGACAACAAACGGATGTAGCGGTGAACCAATGTAACATGACCGCAATAGTCTCCAGTGCAGCATTATGCGTCGTAGCTAATTTTTCGCTACCGTCTTACCGCTCTTTTGGCAACACGGCCAGGCTATAAATAAGGTACTACTTCCCATAGAAATTGTGGTATTAAACAAGAAACTTCACACCTCTACCTCTGACCGTACCTACATCGCCCAGTTACGTAAGTGTGTCCTATATTCTATTACCGAAAATCCAATGTTCAAAAATTTGCTGATTCGTGTGTGGTCCAATCGATCTAGTCTGATCAGTATGCCCAACCGACAAAACGGGGTTGTGAAATGGTTCAATGACGAAAAGGGCTATGGCTTCATTACTCCTCAGTCAGGCGATGATTTGTTCGTGTCGTTCAAGGCAATTCAAGCGGACGGATTCAAAACCTTGAAGGAAGGCCAGGCAGTGACATTTGTTGCCGCACGCGGGCAAAAAGGCATGCTGGCGGAAGAGGTACAAATAGCGTAAGGATTTGCGCCGCAGGGAGTTTGATATTTTAGCGATTGCTACAGATTCGCTACCCTTTTTGTTATCCAGATCTTTTTCTAGGAGAATGCTATATCCCCGAAGCATCTGTCTCTTCATTCTCTGAGTAATAAATCCTTCTTAAAGCTACCCTGCCATACTTTGCTGACGGGCATATCCGTGTACATTAAACTACCCGTTATTGACGGCGGTAGTTTAGAATGATGCCATTAACCGTCATCTTGTGTATCGGCTCTAAACTTACTACCGCAGCTTGTAAGTGACAATTCATAGTATTGTAAAGTATAGGGGGATCTAGTGTTTACAGGATAGGTTTTGTCAATTAAGATAAAGATTCCTTAGGAACAGGTGTATTATACAAGAGAATACAAGAATACAGAGACAGATTCTTGCAGAAATTCCAGGTCCAACTCGAGCTCTGCTATTTGTCTTGTTTGCATTGTCATGCAAAATTCTCGATAACTGGGTCGCCAATACAATTACGAGACAGAGTCATGTATTTTATTTACAGTGAAGTGAATATATGAATACTGATACAGGAGTATTAATGATCCGGTGTTAATCCTATCATAGATTAGCGGGCCTTGTGAAGTGGGTCTGGAAATTAATCTAAGAGTGTAGGTGGTCGCACCAGTTTCGGGACGTACTGTAGGCAGACTTACTATGGGTAACCCCAAAGCCTTGATAGGCAAGACGGTGAATGATAGTGGCTATATCGTTGACAACGATGGAAATCAAATTGGCGAGTGCACGCTGGAGGAGAACGTGCCAGATGTCGAGCCCGAGCCCGAAATATCACACGAGGAAGCTGAGCAACAGGCCAAAGAGGAACATAACCGAGATTTAGCGAAGAAGATCTCGGCCGTTATCCAGCAAACACTTGAATCGGTGGAGCCGCTCTGTAAACAGATCACAGAGGTAAGCCTCTCTTGGGTTGTCTCATTGGATATAACTGACCTGATATAGCATCTTGAAAGAGCCGATCGTACGCCGCGAGAGGAGTTGGATGAAGAGAAACTAGTCCAGACCGTGAAACCTCTAATTGAGGATGCTGGAAACTTGCTACAGGAGTGTAAAAGCACTATCAGGGCGCTCGATCCCGATGGGGCCATCGCTGCATCTGCAAAAGCCCACAGTGCTTCTCACGAGGCAACACCGGAAGAATATCAGCTAGCAGATCTTTTGAAACAACTGACTCAGACCGTGACGACTACCATTGACAATGGCCGTCAGAGAATCGCAGATATGCCCCATGCGAAGAAGAAACTCAATCCGCTGTGGACATTGCTATCCGAACCACTTTTCCAAATTATTGCGGCAGTGGGTTTGCTTCTAAGTGGTGTTCTCGGTCTTGTCAACAATCTTCTGAGCGGACTTGGCCTTGGTGGTCTTGTTCGTGGTCTTCTCGGTGGTCTTGGAATCGATAACCTGATGAACAGTCTCGGTTTGGACAAGGTGGGCATTGGAAATTGAGGAAGTCTTTATTGAACATTAAAATTTCTGCTATTACATCTCTCTCAGCCTTATTAAATTTGTACATCTGTGTAAGGCGGTCGACGTTACCAGTCACCCCTGGACTAGCAAAATCAAGACAACCCCAAACTACTATCCTCTGGTCAACTTGCCGCTCCCAGCTGATGGGATTTTTTACTTACACTTCGGAATAGCTGTCACGCAACTTCCTGTCTGACGGCGTCAACCTTTGTCGCCATGTTTCATACTGATCAGGTTAAGTTAACTAGCATCCAAAGGGTGGTGTCTGTATCAATGCCCTAAATATATCCTCGGGAATAAATACATAATTTCAGTCTTGCATCGCAAGTTAAACACACGACGGTCTCCACATTGCTTCCAAAGATATGGGAAAGCACTAGACGCGACCATACATCCATAGACATAAACCGGCGAATTTCACATAGCATTTAACTGCTCTCGCTATCGCTCTTGCCGTTCTTGTAGGTGCCAGAGTGCTGGGCCTTCTTGCACCAGCCATAGTGGTTACCGTTGTCGCCTTCGGACTCAACGTCGCAGGTGGGGGTCGAGCTGGCGGAGGCCGACGAAGGCTTGGATGTAGTCAGTGAAGCGTGGCTAGTCGAGGGAGTGGACGTGACCGGGGTAGTCGAGTAGGTAGAGAACGAGGTAGAGAGAGTGTGAGGGTTCTCACCCTCCTGGACAGGGAAGGCGAGGACAGAGCCAATAATGGCCAGAGTAGCGAGGGAGTACTTCATCTTGACGGACGCTGTTTGACTTGCAACGGTATAGCAATTGAGAGCTAAGCAAACGAGATTGGTGGCTGATCAGGGTCGTCTGGAGGAAGAGATGGATATTTAAAGCTGGCGATGCTCAAGGAATACGGAGCAGACGCGTCCGCTTCGTTACGATGAATAATGAGACGCGATGCTGGAAAAGCGTTGTCATAGCGCATTGCGATCGACCAATGCGACTAAATGCGGGTCTCGTTGGCGCTACAAGTGGCAGAAACGTGAATTGTGGGGCAGGATCGGGATATTATTGGCACAAAGTGATCCACATTTTAAACTTAAATCCCATATCGGTGCTGATCCCTTGCACGTTCCTTTCACGAATGCTTCCAAACTAGACTCCGTCCATGGCATAATGCCCCGCCGAAGGTGTAATTGGCTCGAATGCCGCTACCACTTACTACGAAACGGGACAGGGACAAAATGTACCCCTGTTTATCCCGAAGCCAGTCTCCAATGTGTCTGGGCCATTGCAGACTGTCGAGCTTGGTTGGACGCCATCTCTTCCCCGTGGCGGAGGTAGGCCCTTCCAGACGGCTAAAGGCTTCTGCCGATCCATGTACAGCTGGACGCTCTATGCGGATGCTACACTCCCACGGACAAGAGTCGTCAGGTCATAAGTCTGTCAACTGGCGTCATGTACGATTTCAAGGCCCGCGTAGTAAGTCTCGGAACTAATGACGCATGATGTCTCAAAGCACCGTTTATAATTGGTGCAACTACAGTACATAATGAGTATAACTTTTGTGTGTGCCCCTGTACGAAAGCAGCAACTGAACGGTGTCCAATAGATGGACTACGGGCTTGCATTTGTTGGTGAATGTTCTGACTAAGGGACTTCTTACAGCTTGTAATTACGTGACCCAATGCCTAATGCACCATCACCAGCAGACATTGAAAAGGACCATTCGCAGGGAAAGTGGCTTCATATTGGGACGTGGAGTTTGAGAAATACCCGGGCGATAGACTGCCGGTGACTGATTATTTGGATCCTGGTCTTTCCGAAACCGATGCTCATTCATTTTTTCTAAGTGAACACGCAAAAAGGAGGGTTTGAGTGCTTTGCTCATTTGTGGCCTAGTCTCAACTTGGTGGTGTTTCCCTCCATATTCACCTCGACCTATGGAACGATTGTCGTTCCGGATAGCCTAACACCAAAAGAAACTCTTTTCAAGGATGATGATTCAGATGGGAATAGGATATTTATTGAGTGGGTCGGATACAGTGCAACGGATCTCCACACTGAGATATCCTATGGGACATTGCGGAGCTTGACGAATCCAGACCACTGTAAGGACCGAGGACATACCCAGCTTCGTATGCTTCGAACTGTTGTTCGTCGGAAGGCAGGCTATAACGATGCGTGAGATCACGCGATGAAACACTCGTCCTCAACTCGCCTGCTTACATGTAGTCTTTGTTCCGGAGTGTTTGGTACCTGGAGATTGCAATTAGTCTTATGGTTTGGCCATTGTCGATATACCTACCGTTGGCCATTTTCCATCAAACCTCGGTAAATCGAAGACCCGATGGACGTGGTTTCCCTGGATGAAACCAAAGGTAAGCTCTGTACTAACAGGGGATAGTTGCTGCACGAGCCACTTACGATTGCCAATCATCGGGATAGTAGGTACTGTCACTAGCATACCAATCCGGATCCTTAAATAACTTCGTCAGGCTTCAATTTTATACAAAGCACTAGCAATACTTGCTACATCAAGATGTTGGTCAGCCATGGTCAAAACACGATTTCAACAACTGGTGCGGAGATAGGTGTTGAGAATATAGAAGACATAAAATTCAATTGTGGGCCGAATAACACCCCCCGAAAAAAACTCAGAAAAGCGGCGTACCGGGGCACAAAATTACCAGTTTGGGATGGCCCGAGCGTCACATTTGCCAGTCAAAAGCGGGGGCAGGAGTGGACTCTCTTTGCCTGTCGCTATTCAATCAATGACGGGAGTCTCCTGGATGTAGCACAATACCCCCATATCTTCTTTACGAAGCAGATCTCAGAGGCAAATCGATACATGTAAGCCCTTAGCTGGCTGAACAGAAGCACATTCCCCTGGGTGACTGATATATGATTGTCAAGCGATCCAAAGCTGGCTGGCTGCTGCCGCTTAAACTGTCACAACATTGGAGAGCAAGTGTTCAATCAAGCCTGAATGATTTTGTTTTAACGGGCTGCGGGCCAACCAACACAGATCCGACTACAAAAGTACGTATAAGGTTTACGCGCTAGGGCGCGAACTTAAAGCAGGGCCAGAGCTTGAATCCCTTGCCTTGACCTCCGGGTCTTATCGTGAGCGATAAAGATCCCTCATTGAAGCGGGGAGAAACCTATTCATGCATCACAGAGAGAAGAAGAGCAGGCCACTGTGAAAAGAAGTTAAAGTTGAACTAGATTTTGTAAATGAGACGGGTAAGGCAGGAAGGTTAACAAGGGCAGTGGAATAGTGATGCCAACCTGATGGCTAGTTCCAGTTCCCTTTTCTTATGGTTGAACCCTAATGGGAAATATGGACTCACGGGCCGCGGGAAAGATTGTTGAACTGCCCCGAAGCGACGGGCTGCAGCTGCGCTAGTGATTTCAGTCCATTTAGCAAGGTTCGACATTACCAAACTGGCGCAGTCGGGGATCTAAACACTTTGCCATTACTAGAGACCGCACTCGGACAATGTGAGTTCCCTATCCACCTCTCTAGATGCATTGCTGATTTATGAAATACCCTAGGTAAGCAATGCATTTTGTCCTACTCGCTCATATGGCTTAGAAACCCTAATCTTTCGGGTCGAGAACAGCTCTGGCCTATAAAAAGGGCATCGTACTCGAATTATGACTGTTTTCAACACACTGCTCGCAGTTCAAGCTGCAGACGCTGACAGCTCGTTTTCCTCTTGACGTAACGTTTCAACACGGGTCCTTATAGCCTCAAATTACGTTGCATCCTCAGTCATCAGTGCGACCATAATTTGCGCGCACGAGACCAAAAATATCTTCCCACTTCCCTACTAAGATTTGACCGGCAACCAATCCACATTTTATTTTCTTCCTTCACCTCCCCTACGTATCTGATTCTAATGAAAACGAGTTCAGAGCGTCACAAGACGACTAAGCTATCTACTGAGCTAAGATCAGCTAATTTGGCTATAAAAACGGCATTTCGCAGTCAAATCTAGCTAATGAGTTCGAGTGTAGTCGTCGGACGATCTATAACACGTTAAACCGCCTTGAAGAGCATCGGAAGGCTTCCCCAAACCGGCCATCCTCCTAAGCTAAGCACTCGAGCTTGCAGATGCTTCTATCTTCAAGCGCGCTGGCACCCTTTTTGGGCCTATAGATAGCTTAGTGTTACGACAGCCGGTTACCCTTCTCGGTCCACTCTACAGCCGATTTCAAAGCAATTCGGATTATCGAAATAGCACTAGAGACAGAATATCAATCTAGATAGACTGTTACTGCTTTGTTGGATTCATTTATCCAGCGTCCGGCACAAAACAACTCCTGACAATTGGCTCTTCTTGCACCAATTTTTTTCAGGGATTCTATGAGATGAACGGAAATATGTTATTGTTTAAGCCACAGCATACCACATATACTGTACCATCGATAGTGAAGAAGTCCGGGGCTACCAACAAATCATATAGTTAACGCATATCTCTCCTGACTATAGTGGCAAAGGCGCTGGACAATATCTCCATCTCTTTTCTCCGATATTTCTCACACACTGGTTCACTTCTACCTATACCTCCCAATGAGCCGAGTAGGGTCAGAATCTTCTGCTTGTTTTACGCTATTCATAGCACGGGCGGTGACAGGTGAAAGGTGGAGTGGTATGACAGATCGTACTTTCGTTGGTAGCGAGGTAACTCGCCAGATCTTTGACTGTAATCAATGCTCATGTCCGATAGAATGGAACCCGGTACTTTGAATAGATTAGTTTCCCAATATTACCTTGTTAATAATCTAGAACCCTTACCCGTCCAACGCTCGACGTCATTCATAGAATCAGCATAGAGACTGAAGACAATTTGCCTTTTCTCTTCCACTTCTTCGATACTTAAAAGCCCATTCTCGACCTGATGTCAGAAGGCTTTGCCCTGGCAGGAAGCATCTTTGTAATGTGCCTTCTTATTATCCAGGACGTGAGACGACATGTATAGATGATTGGACATCACCACCGCTTTAAGAATACGATAATCTTTCTCTCAACTTCTTCATAAAAGACTATCATTCAAAAGCAGAATAATAGTACTCTGCACGTTCCCAATCTGATTGCTGTCAGCAAGGAATATCGATCTCACAGGGACATACAAACCATATCTAACCCAGGGTAAGGAATATTTGCAATTCATTTTTATTAAATGATGTGAATGCAGCCGATTTGAGTGTATTGTCTGCTTTTTCGTGAGGGTGAATTGAATATACATACTTAAGATGGAACGTGTATATATATACACGATATAGAGTAGTCCATTTCCGTTCAAACCGTTCAGAGTGACGCATGAAGTGACCTGAACATGGCTAAAGAAACAGAAAGGGGTATCCCCTTGGGCTTACTGTTGGCTGAGATGAGATATGCAGCTCTAAAGACTTGTCCACAAGAGATAGAGTGTTCAACGGTCAAGCCCATATCTATTACTAGGTACAGGTTTGCTGCTTGTCTATCCCTCTTAAACAAGCCAATTTCCCCTATTAAGGCCCAGAAATGAAGATGGTGGATTTGCAATTAAACTAGCCATAGCCATAGCTTAAGAACAGCATACATTGAGGATCGTTTATGCCCACTCCAGCTGCGCCTATGAGGTTCTCCAAACCCCAGTAACCCCGACGTAGCTTCTGGGGTCTTACTCCTCGACACCGAGAAACCAAATTCATGTTCCTGTTGACAGCTTTATTAACTCCTGGGGTCATAAGTGAGGTTCCTGGGGCTATAGCTCGGCCTTCTAGGTGTGATTGAATGACGCAGATTTGTGCGCAGGTTTGGTGAAGGTATCTTGTGAGGGCTTTCCGCGACCTCAGAAGGCAATATACTGATTCTAGGACCTTAAGGTAAGGTCCCAGGGGCGCCGTAGTCCCCACATCAAGCCAATGTATTCCCAAAGCCAGTTCCGGATTTAGTCAGGAACGTAGAGTGAATATCCCAGGGATAGTGTGAGGGTCTCATGTATCCGTTGATGGGGACAGCGTCTTCCAGGTAAGTAATCAATATTAAAGGAGGCTATAGTCGACTTTAGATATAAGTCGTAGCGCGAGGAAGCAAAAGAAAGGTAGCTTCCTCGCGTTTAGGAGAACCCATAAACATCATCTGGATCCCGCAGATCATATCTCCCATCCTTCGTGTAAGGTTATATCCCTGACACACAATACCAGGAATTGCACTTTAGATTCTAGGAAGTAATGAAGCTGTCAACAGGAACGTGGCTTTGGTTCCCCGAGATGGAGGTAGAAGGCCCCAGAAATTACGTCTGGTTTCCTGGGGGTATATGGCTTCTGGAAGCGGCCTTTGTGCTCCCAGAAACCGTACCAAAGCCTCCGGGATCAAGAGGACTCCCAGTGCCAAGGTGTGTGTTCCTAGGGCTCATAGATTCGTCAACAGGAACGTGACTGGTTTCAGAAAGTTAAGATGGAGAGTTCTACAAGCTTGGTATGATTTTCTAGTGCTATGTAATTCCTGGACGGCTCACAGGTTTCCAGGGTCAGCTTCTGATGACTTTACGAACACCAAGGTTGGTTGATATCTGCGCAGGAAAAATCGTTAATCATTACATATGTTATACAGGGGCATTAACGTGAGAATACTGCTCCAATATCGGCCATGATGGGTGGGCCAGTCGGATAAAGAGATGAAAACGCTTGTAATTCCAAACACGAGATGCAACTTGGAAAGTATCTTAGCAACTATTTAATAAAATCTATTTCTTGCATGGCTCCATCCGCTGCAGTTCACTAATAGTTCCGTATTCCACCTCCCCTTCCGTCATCCTTCGAGAAATCATCATGAATATTTGCGATTGTGTCCATTCGAAATGCCCCCTGCCTCGTTCCATCACAGCCCTACCCTGGGAAGGACTTCGAAACGCCACGTTGAATGTTTCGTGGGCTCGGTGCGCCTACTCTGCTAGTGATTGCGTAAGTCATGTACGACAAAAGGCACGAGAGACATGATGAGACCATCCGCCCTGATACGGGCCCTACGGCAAATATGCTACCCTTAATCGCGGAACAGGCCGGCTGAGACTCGGTAGGAAATCCATAGTACCTGTTAACTATCCAATGTTATCCACTGCCTTGCTCGACGAAGATGTCCAGATCCACATGACGTCCCCTGGACTGATTTGAGCCCAAATTTGTCCTTAGATATGAACTATCCCGAGAAAACTGAGTAGCCTTATGCCTGAGGATCTTAGATATCTTCCCGGAAATAGGTATGCCAGATTACCCTGATTAAGTTGGATCTCATTGCCCTCAATACCTGGTCAGCCCTCGCATGGCGGCCTTCCTCCGCGCATCTGAACAGGTCCTCTTGGTCCTTGAGGTTCTTTGTTGGGAAAGCCATGTTGAGAGTTCCTTTAGTATCGTAAAACCATTTTCATCTATCATCGTGGGAGACATTGCGCTTTTAAATAGGAAGAGTGGGACTGAATGATGATTCCTTGCTGCTGTTTCATGGAACGTCAAGGTACTTTTTGTAGGACAGCAGTTCGGGGATAAACGTATGATAATACAAAGACAGCTTGACTCTCTGCATTTCATGGTTATACCTCGGTTGTTCTTAGACCATAAATCAATGCTTGAGAGGTTATAAACACTGAGGTATAATATTCAAGAGCTTCAAATTCTTCACCTCTCACGCACAATAGCTAAAACAGTTAAAAGAATCATGAATTTCCACTGTTATTTCTCATGACAGATCTGTGGTTGAAGACCTCATTACAAAAGCTTCCGGATACTGAAGGTGGTAAGAAGTGCCAAACACTGGCTTACTAGTATTTGGAGAAGGTGGAGAATCGTGCGCAAGGCTGGAAGGGCTTCTTGTATGAACCGGGTAGGTCTCAAAGGAGCCACGTTTCCTCTTCAGAACATGTGGAGGGACACACATAGTGTCAAAGCTTGGTTGATGTTCGACAAACTGTCGTTCGGGCTTGACATCTGTGGTTTGGCTTGGGCGGGCGCTCGACGATGAACTGGTGGAGAACTGTCTATCGGGCGCATTCAAGGTAGAGACGTATCTCGAGCAGCCTACAAAAGGCTCAGAGTCTTGAATTGTGGCCGGATTACCTGGTGTGCTGTTTCCGCTGCTGTCTGCGCAGCTAGCATTTGTCTCCGCTGGTTTTGGACGATTTACAAGAGAGATACACGCTATGGTTTGTCCATCTACGGAAGGGATATCAGTTTCGTAAACGACCGAGACTTTTCTCTGTGTGCCTACCAGTTGATCCTTCTAAGGACTTCTCTTCTTGGTGCCTGACTTGATACAGCTCGTCGAGAATATGTAATCGCTCAGGTGGGGATATCAAATGGCGAATAGGCTGATCAGCTCCTTGTAGTTTTGCGACCGAAATCCCATGGCTGGTGCGCAGCTCGCGAAGGATGTGAACCAGAAGCTGAATGCGTTCTATTCACGGTTAGATATGTGCTGGCCACGGAAAGAATCATGGGCCTCCTACCAACTTTAGCGAGATGGTCTGGCTCTCGATGGCTTACTCCAGAAGGCCACCACGGTGGTTTAGTCATCTCAGGATCAAACTGCCTTGGAGCCATTGCAACAATCTTTCGTCCATTATATGGATAGTTCACCTGCTTCCGAGGCTCCACCAGCTTGATATAGGCTTTCGCAAGGATTCGACAATTTGTCTGTTGCAGATCCTCGAAGGCCTTCATGTAATATAAGGCCAATATATCACGGTCTTTGACGGATACCATAGCTTTCTTGTCGCTAATCATGTTGAAATCCTTTTCGCAAAGCTCCTTCCAGTGACGTGAGGGATCTTCAGTGGACCAGCAGGGCCAAGTCTGTCTGCAGATAGGCCGGACCAGAGGCCGAAAACAAGTTGCCACTGGGAAAGGCTTTTGCATGCGTGCCTCACCCCCAAACCTCGTCCCAACATAGTGTTCCTGAGTCATATGTGATGAATGTGTGGTTTTGGCAATTGCTGCAGGTGCTTGGTTTGGGGATACCGGCATGCCTTGTTCGCCTAACATTGATCATCAATCGAAAGATTGCTGGGTGAACATGATACTTACCTTGATAATTTGAGGAGCAAGTCTTTATTGACATACCCACAGCTCTCAGGAATGCATCCGTCACCTGTGTGGATAGTATCTCCTGCCAACTGTTTGCGATAGAGTCTGAGACTCGTAGACAAATTATGCCGTTTGCGTCGATATATATGAGTGCGAAATGGGTATAAGATAGCTCCAAGGATTGTGCGTCTGCTGGCATGGTTGCCTGCGCCTGGCTAGCGGTCAGTTCCTTCAAATCCAACTTTCAACCCAGTAATTACCATACTATGAAGCATGGGTCCATGGACCTATCCTTGACGCCAAGAACAGGTTGGAAGTTGTCTTGATTGAATGCTTAGCCCGAGTGCACCCAAATAAAGAACGCAAGGACTCACAGTCGAAAGCCATTTCTATTGAAGGACTGCAATGACTGTCTTACAATGTTGGGAAAACGTGAGCACAAAGTCTATCCACTGCTGGCGTCCAGATATTTATAACTTGACTGACAGTCGCTAGATATTGCTAGGTTTTGGGGGGGGGGGGGGGGGGGGGGAGGCTTCACCAGCACTGTCGAACCTGTCAATCGAGTCAAATTTATACACATTGTATCAAGTCCCAATTAAACACAAAGGTTGCATTAAAGCTATGTACAAAGTACAGCTCTAACATGAGGCCAATCTAGACCACTGCATGTATGCATAGCGCCCGAATGGATCGCCCATATCATTGAATCTTTCACGCCTATCGTCAGAAAGCTCACCGCCACGGGAGTGTCTATTGTCGTACGAACACAAAACCGTATTGTTGAATATAAAAAGCCTGGAATGCGGACCAGCCGCGTGGCGTTCATAGGCATTTGTAGGCGTTCGTGGCAAACCAAAACTCCTGGCGTCAGTCCACAGATAAGTAGGGGTCGGCACGAATAACGAATATATTCGTATTCGTTACGAATATTCGCAATTCGCATTCGTATTCGCAGACATTTTGCACGACGAATGCGAATGCGAATAAATTTTCTATTCGCCGCGAATATTCGCAAGTTCGGTCACGTGGCAAAAGAATAACTAGTGAGCAGTCACAGCCCAAGTGACAAGACTTCACTTGATGTTCCGTGCCTTGCGAACAATGATCCACAGAGGCTTTATACTACTATGTCCTTCGAAGCAAAGCAGCGGCTGGTTGGGAATACCAGCAAGACGCTCTAGGATTTTTCACTGGGTGTTCTCTGAACTATATATATCTCTCAACAGCATCACTTTCCGCATTGTCTCACCTTTTAGAGAATGTCGACGTACTCCTAACAGATCCCTACCACGGCTAAACAACCTCTCTACTGCGACTTCAGCCGCCGGAATGGCAAGGTAATCCCTGGCTGCAGCTGCCATCCGCGGATACTCATCGTTGTGCGTCCTCCACCAGCCAAATAACCAATCTTCATCCTTTGTTACAGATTCATCAACAGTCACCACACCTTCCTCAAAGTAGCGGTCAATATCTGAACGCTGGATCACTTGTGGTTGCAGCTTCTGCAGAACACGAGCCTCCAGACTTTGCCGCTTGTTGTCCTGCTTAATCTTTGACGTTGATTGCTCCAGTGATGATTTCGATGGGTATTGCTCATGCAAGGTATCCTTGATGGATCGAATAACCTTTGGCGCCGTCACCTGCCCGAGCTCCTTATCCAACAAGAGGGTTTTGAAGCGTGGGTCAAGGACAAGAGCTATATAATAAGCATCTTGGGCGTCCATCAGTTCATAATATTTCTTGTATTTCTTCATCCCCGCGGAGATGGCGGAGGTAATGTCAGAGCTAAGCCCCGAAAAGTCGCCTTGTGCAGAAGCTGCATCTTCGAGCATGTCATTCAGTTCGTAATAGATGGGAATGGCTAGGCTGATCTGGGATTTCCGCCGGGAAACCAGTTGAGTGAACTCATCGAACTTGGAGAGGATCATTTCGAGCTGTTGCAGCTGCAACCAGTCGTCAGCTGAAAATGGCGGAAACTGGTTCTGATGCTCTATCCACATCCGGATCTGTGCTTTGGCTTGCAAGGCTCCCTGGACCATACGGTATGTGGAGTTCCAGCGGGTTTCCACGTCATACTCGATGAACTTGTCGTTCAAGCCATTTGCTTGGCAAGTCACTTTCCACTGCTGTCGTCGTTGAGGTGTCCTCAATATCCAGAGAGTCATGATCCGAATCCGGGCCAAGGCAGACTGCCGTCCGATTTTCTTATTTCCCTGTAAGAGATCACAGGCTTCAATGGCAGACTTGTGATCTCCAGATTTCATCCTCGAGAGGATGTCGCGGACAATGAGATTGAGGACATGTGCAAGACACCGGATGTAGCTGTCAATACCTTGAAATCGGAGACGTCCTTTATCGGGCAATTTGGAATCCTCCGAGTTGTACTTTTCCAACAGGTGAAAATACAGCTCAGACACCAGCGTTTCATTATTCGACGCATTATCAGCTGTGATTGTGAGCAGCTTCTCCTCAATCCGAAGCTCGACAAGCATCTTCTGCAGAGTCTCCGCCATATTTTCTCCACTGTGGGATCCAGCAAGTTCGCTGAACTCCAGGACTCGTTCTTGATATTTGAAGTCGGTGGACACCCAGTGACCGATAACTCCCAGAATGGCTTTATGGTTCTTGCTTGTCCAGACATCCAAGGAAAGCGCAATTGTGGAGCATGTCCGTGCTAGTTCATCGATCAACTGGATCCGACAGCGATCAAAATCTGCGTCAATGCGGCGGGCAACTGTTCGAGAAGAGAAAGGAAGAGGAGCGTCCGGCAAGTCCTTGAATATCTGTTGGAACGCAGGGGACTCAATTGCCGTAAATGCCACATCATCTGTCACAACCCATCGAAGTATGTTCTGTTCCAACAGAGCTCTAGTATCATGCTGGGCTCGGGACTGGAATATTGAAGCAATTGAGTGCTGTTTCGTCTCGCTGGAACCCTCGCCCAGGTCCTGTGGACCGGACTTTTCGAAAATGTTGTGTTTGGCTAGGTGCGTCTTCATGTTGGTCGTAGATGTTGCCCTTGCTGAATCTGTGGTTTTCCAGCCACAATGAATGCATTGAATCTCTCGATCCTCAAGCAGCTGTCGGCTTCGCCTGGGCCGCCATTGCTTGCCCGGAAGAGGACTAACTCGAAATTGATTCCAAAGCCATTGATTCAGTGGCTTAATGCGCGCTTTTCTGTGCGATTTGTATGGCCGTATGGCCTCTGTAAAGCATCTAGAGCTCCCTGGTGGAACAGATTCCGACGGAGTAGGTAGATTGAGATGCAGCTGGCTGGCGGAGTCTTCAGGACCAATCGATTCTAAGCGACCAGGTGGCGAATCCAGTCGGGGTTTCTTTCTGATATGATCTTCAATATCGTCTTCGTCACTTCCACCATTTAAGAAGTGGTAGTCTATTCTCTGAGACCGTTGGGGGCGTGGTGGCAATTCAGCAGATGAGCTGCCGGAGCCATCATTGTTTGAAGCTGGCAATTCAGCACCAGACATTCTGAGCTCTATTACCGTCATCGAAACACGTCCTTGAAATAAACTTGTCAGATTCGGACGCGACTTGTCACTTGGATAAACAAACTGCACGTGATATACTTTTTCCTATTGGGTGGGAGTTGGTTTTGGTGACGGGGCAATATTTGTACGAATATTCGTACGAATATTGGCCTTGCGAATACGAATATTCGTAGAGGTCTGTGATCTACGAATGCGAATGCGAATATCTCAAAATGTTACGAATATGTATTCGTGCCGACCCCTACAGATAAGACGAACGCTAGACATGGCGAATATGCTGGATTGTATGGTGCTGGTACGGTGAAATTAATGGACCGTTGCTGGATAGACATCCTAAATGTCCGGGATCTTGCCATAGACTGTTCACTCCCGTAACAAATGCCGTTATTCTATAAATACATATAGCTGGACCTATGCTGGACGAACTGCTAGGGATCTTCTTTTTTCTGGTCAGAAAGATATTAAGCATGTCACTGGGGTTCTCTGAGAAGTTCAGAACATGGAAAAAAGAAAATTAGGGACTCTCTATTTGCAATTTTCTGCGGTCGGGATTCTTCCAACAACGGTAATCTCATTGCCGCATCTCAATGGCCGGGAAAGCTTCCCGGGCGTCGATCGTTGCCGATCTACCCTGTAGATACGTGTACGAAAATAAAGTTAGTTATTTGGTGAAAATTGAGCAAAAGAAAGGCTTTCATACGTGATTGTCTAAGGCTAATTACAGTGATCCTTGCGTCTTTGTGGACATTGATATTAAACGGCCCAAACGGTGCGGGGAGCCGGACCACTCAGCCCGTGTGTCTCCTGTTTAAAGCGGTTTATCAGGCTGTTGATCCTGTGCAGCTAGCTATTGGGAATCGATGACACATAGGTTCGAAGGAGGCTCGCTCCAAGTGACTATTACCCATGATTCCTATGGATAGAGATGGAGGCGTGATTGCTTTTATTTTGTGAAAGTCATTGCGCTTATGTGTGCTCCTCCCTTTATCTCGCCGGGGAGATTGAAACGTCAAAATGGTTGAGAAACTCGACTTATCAAAGACTCACCGGTCGGCAGACATGGTCCACCTCCCAGATGGCGAATACGACCTTTCACATACGCATGGACGTGGGCAACAGCAAGGGTACTCCGGATTTCGTCAATCAATCTAGAGCCGTCTCCGTATTAGGTTACTCAACGCACAAGCCCTTCAGCCCAGGACAAAAAGGTACAAGTCCGGAAAAAAGAAAACCGACGGGCTACAGGTGCTCGACCTGAATACGGGCGCTCGCAGAGCGCGGAATCACGGCCCGCGCGCACGCGCCTCGGGTTGTTGCATTATTGGTCACCTCCAGTTCTCATATGCCCTGGAAGGCAACGAGGGTGTAGCAGTGTGCGCCGCCGGCTGGCGATCAGGTTCGTCCGTTGAGGTACAATACCTGCTGATGGCTTGGAGAAAAGGCCACAAGGTTCGAGAAAACCCAAATATCATCACTGTAAACCGTGTGTCCCACTATGCTGCTAGCAATGTGAAATCTCCCCATTATCCGTGTGATGTTGCATCCATTAAAAGTCTGTATCACTCCTTCCATTCTCGCATTCTCGAGGTGAGCATGGCAGGCAAATCGACAATCGAAAATTAATTTTGAATGAAAAATAAATAAAGTTTTTGTCGAGTCAAGCTCCAATTGACTGGTTAATTAGGTCTAATTGGGGCTGCGGGGAAGTGGTGGACTGGTGGTTCTCTCATAATCGGCGCGTCGCACCCCACACCGCCCTTCGAACAAGAGCCCCGGACATTGGTCAATAATGACCCTGGCCTTGGAGTTTCCCGATCTCATACGCATCGCAGGGACTGCTGTTTGATGGGACTGTACACTCACTGGTCAAAGCTACTGCTATATTCTTAGATGTAATTCAATAGTTCACACCTCCAGTGAGCAGCTGCCACTAGCCGGCTTACCGCCCGCCGATTTGTGGAGTACAAGTGACAGAAAAACTCTAATCCTGCAAGCCGTGGAGAGCTATAAGGGCATTTTCCAAAGCTGGAATCTCACAGAGCATCCCTGACATTCTGGAGACTTTTATCCCACCTCGGGGAACCAAATTCATGTTCCTGTTGACAGCTTCGTCAAGTCCTAGAGGCGTGAGTAAAGTAGCGATTTAATGGGGCTGGGAGGGACGGAATGCCGGAGGCTGAGCAGAGAATTTATTTATCTTCGATTACAACAAGTCAAGACGACTAGGAGGGATTTGCGATCAGATGCTAAGTTTTGGAAGTTAAAGTCGGATATATCAACAGCCGTGAAAGGTTAGCAGCGGACGGCCTCACCAAGATCAAGGAAACTTCACCGGCGGTTGGATGGGCCTCATCCAAAATCAGTGCTGATCTTTAGGAGAGAACTCAAATAAATAGCGATACGATCCAATTGTCACCTGTTTTGGCCACGCAAGCTCCATCACGCTGATAGTTTATCAAGGCCCATCAATACGGTAGGCTTGAGTATCGCTCGCTGGCAAGGCTGAAACCACACCATTACAAAGGGCCTAAACCGCTCTTTTTCGATCCTATAACACCAGTGTCTGTTCATTGCAAAGCTGTAGAAGGATATTGTTGTCGCTTACTAACCACTCATTTGACTCTTCAAGCTATTGCTGCTCATCCTCGAGTCGTATCTTCTGGGCAGATTTGACGACGTAGCATTCCTATAGGCAAAAGTATAAGTCCACCAATTTAAGGGCTAGTGTAGCCCCGGGGAGTTGGTAGTTGGGGTGTGGTCGTTATAGTATAGAATTTTCATAACCTCCGCCGTAAGGGCACCGGGAGTACTCAGCGGGTTCTATATAGTATTAATAATATTGTTCGTTTCCTATCGAAGAGGGTCTAGTCAACTATAGGTTCGATAGTTATACTATCTAAAGATTGCTGTAGGTGGATTTAAAACCTAGGCTTATCTTCCAGATCTTAGGCTGCCCTACAATGTCACTTGAATAGCCGGTCAATTAGGGAAGGCGACGTAGGATAGTCCATTTTAGTCATTAAAGTGAAATAGATAAGGCATTGTGCTTGGGATTCATTATAGACTGAAAAAAAGCCACACCGAGTCTGCTATTATTGCTACCTATAAGCTGCTAGGCCTGATTTCGAGAGCGTTTAAGAACTAGTGAATCGTTACCTCAATTTTTGACGCTCGATCTCACCTGTTGTTTCCCCAAAATCACTCACTGATATGCGGAACTGAACGACAGAAGAAGCCTCGAAACAAAATATTGTAGAAACTACCACCTAATAGTAGTCTGCAAGTGAACTTCTGATGTATTGTATGCTATATATCAAGTAAAGTTCGACAAAGTTTAACGTGACGTTATTGTGGCCGCAAAATATTCCAAGTGCAGGGATGCAGATAATTCGACTCCAAGTATTGCTATCAACTGACGTTGAAGTAGCAAATCTCGTGTCGTATCACTAGAGCTACCTAAAGTGATATCAGTGTGACTTTGAAAGCGACGAGAAACCGTAGATGGCCGAACCACGGACGAATTAGCATAAGGTTACGGGCTCGGATGATCGACGTGCGTTATGTGGCATACCCGAAATTGGCGGCGGTCATCTGCTTCGGACGCTAAATATTAACTTGACCTGAAAGCGAAAAAGGTTTTGCATTCTGTGTCCTTTTTGTATTATTAAGTTCGTATTTAGGGTTTCCCACCCCAACTGAATCTGTAAGCCTAAGGGCATTGGGTTGGCTGCTGTTTGAGGTTTCATTAGGATGCTTGAAGATATTGCTATTATAATGGGTATGTCTATATTGCACGGTTCAAGCTGTGCAGGGGCACCTAAAGCTGTAATCTCCGGTTATGAAATAAACTGACTTAACCCGAGGAGTGGCACTGCCTAAATGCCTGAAACTGCGCACTATACATGAGTGGAGACGACGAATAACGGCCGCCGTCCACACTTCAATGTAAACGACAGTATGGGTGCACACGGGAGTAATACAACATCGACAATAGACGTGGCCACCGGTAAAATGCCAAGCTGACATCGACGAAGAGCTTATTCGAAACACATTCAAGTATTTTCTTCACGTCAAGCTTGTTCTGGTCTTGGCCACTACCCGGGCTGACCTTCTCGTACTCAGTTCTCCAAGCTAAACGCAAGTATGGCTTTATCGTGAAGAGGCCCCTAGTTTTGCTGTTGTCCGGCTTACACATCCATATTTATTTCTTAGGTGAGAAGGGGCTAATTCTGTATCTGTTTCTCAAGTTATCCTATGTCGTCATCTTACAAGGTTTGCTTTGCTTTGGATTAGAGCCTATCTAATTTTTGCGGTCTCGAATTTCACATACAAATAATATAGTGGCACCGCCTGCCGTCTAGACCAACCTAGACTCGATGTTGCTATGCGTTGGAAGTAGTTATGTGAAAACTGAAAAGCTTAAACAATCGAAGATGGTCTAGCCTAATATAGGCTTATTGAATCCATGCTGGAAGCTACCAATCAATAAAGCACAAATGGCCTAGAATTGGGCTATGGAACCCATATTCCACCCAATAACCAAGCTCTACTAGAACTGCCATACAAATTTGTTTAAGACTTGGGCGACTATGACTGGTTGACTAGTTCACGTCATCATTATTCAGATTACTACCTGGGGGATGCATTTTTTAATAGCAGGTGTCTATGGAGTGTCTCATTATTAGCTGTTTCCGTTTGCGGTTGGTTTTGTGGAGGGTTGAAAACGCATTATTACAGTTACATGAAGCCATTCCATCGTCATGCGATCAGGACTTGAATAGATAAAACTGGCTAGATTCCCCAGCACAGAACACCATTTCAATATCCTACCTCTTCTTGTTCGTCCAACCACTGACTTCAGTCCAACATCTGCCATTTAAGTTTAGGAATTACAATCTCAACAATGTCTCCAGACCAGTTACAGATCAGCATTGAATCTCAAAAATTCCCTAGATCATATCTCCGAATTGACGGAGATGGCGCCAGCTCATGGGGCGATCAAGGTGGAGGAACAGTCAATGCCCAGAACTATGTCGGCTCAAGTGAAAGATTCATAATTGTGAATGATCCTGACGATAACAACGCATTCTCAATTTACTCTTCCCAGTTCAAAAACGTTTATCTACGCCTAGATGGCCGAGGTGTCACTCCTGGACAGGGATACCCAAGTGGTGCAGGCAAGGTGAATTGCCAGTGAGGATTCCCTCTCCTCGCATTGTTAATAAATCAATTTATGGCCTGCTAGGTCTCCTATTTTGAGTGGTTTCACTAACCTTAAGAAATTTTAGGAATGGTAGTGAGAGCTGGGAGAAATTCCGCTTTGAATCACAGCCTGACGGATCAAAGGCTATTGCTTCCGTGGCGTTTCCTGGCGTCTACCTTCGTTTGGATAATTCCACTGGTGGCGGTGGAAGTTCTGGCTCTGGGACAGTTAATTGTCAGGGCTACGTTGGTCCCTATGAGAAGTTCTTCATAATTTTGATCTAGGGGGAAAGTGCGCCAAGATCCGGTCATATAGTCTTCGCTGAGCAAGCCGTCACTTATATAGGCCTTGGTATAGGTTTTCGCCTAGTTGTTTAGGTTTTTCCTATATTGTTATGCAAATGCAAGGGTCTCTGTTATTTGTTTGCTAGTTCATGGACATTACCGACACAAGCTTGGGTAAGAGATTTCTAGATATAACGTCAAAATCACATAATTTATTTGTAATTGTGGGGGAAAAGTCCACTTTTACACCTTGCAACGACTTCGAAATGACTCGTATACAGTAGTTCACCCCGTGCTAAAACAAACTAAGGGTGCAAATTCACCAGTGCTGAAGAAAGGACAAACGGGGCCCAATCAATTGGCACGGCTGTCTGGCTACTCTGCAACGTTAAAGTTTCATGGCTCGTAGTCCACTACTCTCTTGGTCTGCCCATCTGCTAGGTACGCTCGGGGAAGTTCATGCTCAGGTGCTAATCGATCGCGGTGTGCTTCATTGGGCGTAATCTTTCGTATAGCGACCACATGCGCAAGGAGCTCAACTGCTCGCTTTGTTTTTCCATCGTATCACATACATTTCTCCTAGGACGTGTTGAGATTCAGTCGATCAGAATGTCCTTCACCAAGCGTTTTCCGCAATGCAGCGACCATATGCTCAAGCAGCTCTACTGGTCGTTTAACGCACGTCGGTTCAAAGTACCAGGCAAGGAGGCAATATGATTTGAGCTTTCGTCCGTAAAATGTACCACCATTTCTTGTATAGTTTAGGATCGGGTTCCTGGCCAGAGCCTCGAGCGTTCTCCCGTCATGGGGTTTTTTTTTTTTTTTTTTTTTTTTTTTTTGTGAGGTCTTCGCAAATATTGATGAGATTTGAAGTCAGAATTTAGTTAACAGTCTTTTCCTCTATTATGGCAATCACCGGGAAAAGATACGTGAGGGCTTCTTCGCTATTTGTACATCACCTTTCAAGAAGCCTAAAGTTTTCAATATTTGTTATCATTCTTTTACCGTAGGAAGCTGAACAATATCGGCTATGGTTGGGCATAGTAACCCCAGCCAGGGTCGCTGATCTAGAGTCGTGACGCATGCAGGAACCTCGCCATACAGGTCCCTGCCCACTCAAAATTATTTCAAATTATTAGTCTCGCGCTATGAAGGCAATGCTGCCGCGTGGGTTCTGTATAACATCATTACCACGTGAAACTTGATGAATCACATGGTTAGGGCCCGGTCCTGGCCCGGTCCTGGCATATCTGTCCAACTCTAGAGCTACCCCAGACAAGGACAAAGCCTGGCTAACATCAATCGCATGCTTACCAGTGGATCAGTGCCGTGTTAACGCCTCGGCGCGTACATGATTATCTGGTATGGTTCTTGTTATTTCAGAGAAATGAGCATAATTATCTGGATTTGCCATAACAGGAGGGGAGAATGTCGCTTTTCATATGATGTTGAAAGACTGGATTGAATCACCAGTCGAGCGGCTTTCGAAAGGAGAGTATCGACATTTTTATCTTCTAGGCTGGCCACCAGAAGGGGCTGGAAGACTTTGGACGACACTCAAAATACCTAATTACAAGCCAAAGTGACGCGGAACCGAGTTACTCTTGGTAACGATAGGAGGATCTACGGACAGGGATCAAGTTCAACTACATAGCGCACGCGGCCGCAGTCTACTCCATACTTGGACGACAGCTGTCATCTTGTGGCTTTCGATCGTATCCGTCTGAGCATACCCAATTCAAATGTGGGGTGCCATCTTTCTCATTGAAATATATCAGCATGTTACGCACGGCTAACGGGTCGTCGCTATGTTAGAAGATTCCTGGGTTATACTTGCCTGAATGCTTCCTTGCTTCCAACGTCAACGACCTGTCTCTCAACTGTACCGTTGCCTAACAGGCCTTATACGGGCTAAGTCCTTTTGAGGGTATCGAGGAGCGATGCCAGGCAAAACGCCGAACTAACCTATACCGGAGTACGGGTCTATTCGTAGTGTTGTCGAGTTATAATCAAGTTGTACGAGTCACCAAAGGTTCTGAACAATAGACACACGTAAAAATGGATGATTGAACACGAAGAACTAAACTAAGTACATGAATCAGTGTCCTTATATATTCTTCGTGGGTGATACCATGCCCCCTGGCTGGGTATACCGGTTGATTCCCGTCGGTAGTCCATCTGGTATACCAGTCCTTCGCACCACAGTGTGGTATACTAGCATAGTCACGTGGTGGCCGTTTCCATTGGTTATTGTGGTATTTCAGTATCCGTCGGTATTGAAGGCAGTGCTTTTTTCTGGCGTATGCGCAGTGACCAGGTGTACAATGAGGACGACAAAAGCGATATCTTGACCTCTAAAGTTGTCGGCGACATGTTTATTCACCACAACGGCGGTATACGTACGATATCCTCCCCTGACGAATCCCAAGGAAGCATAGATATTGTTGACGGTGTAATTTCAACAATATATATTCAATCACAACGCATTTTCCACATTCGGTTGAGAAGTCAGAAATCCCAAAAATAAATAGAGTACAATCTAGAGGACCGAAAAAGAAAATCGAAAAAAAAAAGGTATCTATCTCAACCATGATCACGAGTTCAAAGTTGACTCTCGTCAACAAGGACTGCCAAGCTTCAACGGGTTGACGGGTTGAGTACCCGCGCCCGCGCGACCGCGGCCTGACGCCCCTAGACGGACAGAAGCACACACAGCTCAGACAACCAACACTCAAGCGAGGCCAGAAGATTTCCATGTTCCTTAGATGAAGATGTGAGCGCTCTTGGTAAGATCAAAGAATGAACAGCTTCCGTTGCCTCAATATTAAGACCGTAGATTCAACAGTGAGCCAACGTTTCTTAACCGACTCACTTTGACTCATTCTCTACTTGACTCTAGCATGTTTTCTCGGTGAGCATTTAAAATCACACCGAGAAATTCGCTGCAAATAGTTGCGGTATATGTTACAACAGGCCTCACTTAGGATAGACATCGTGACCTTCAACGTTTGCCACCTAGCAGAGCACGTACGCGACAGGGGCTGAGAAGCCTATAAACACGTCCTCTCCCCTCAGCAATTCGTTCTACAATACTGTCACTTGCTGTGCAAAGTCGAGCAGGCCCTCGGTTTGAGGTTCCTGATAAGTTCTTTCCTTCATCCCTACTGGAATTTCCACTATACTGACATCTACGGATACAGTACATCGCGGGCCGACAAGCTAGAAAGGGCTTGTGAGAAAGTGATTCCCACCAGATCCACTATACCACCTATGCCAGCCGATCAAAGAAGCAGAATTGGGTTAGCTGGTCAAAGTATGCGAACATCTGTCCACCATAGCAGCGGACCACTGTCCCGCCCCTGAATATATCGATGCAAAAGAGGAATTTCTATATAGGTATATAGATTTCAGCGCGACCCTTTCCGAGACTGGACTGACTTCAAAGACGATGCGAAATAACCGGATCCTTGCATTCCATCCAATGCACGCGCAAAGCCACGGAGCCCTTTCCCGTGTCTTCTTTCAGAACATGTGAGTTCTACATGTCTCGCCGATCGACAAGCTAATGATGGACAGGAGACCGTTGACAGCGCCCTAATGTGAGTCCGAACCAGCGGCGCCGTCAGTGCTCCGGGCAAGGCCATGGCTTACACCATTTCTGGCCCTGCCACATCAAAGCATGCAGCATATCCTATGTGAAATACTACAAGCCAAAGGCGCGGGCCAACCACAGGACGCATAAGCTTCGGACGTTCGTTGTCCACGATGAGGTATGTGGAATATCGCTCCTTCTGCTACGCCGGGTCCGATAATATGTGCCAAGTCTGTGCCTCAAACACAAAACTGCTGACATCTCTTTGCCGTTGTAGGAGCAGCCCATCGCCAACCGCGAAAGTCTTGTGTCGAGTTACCTATTCCGGCCGAGTCAGACAAGACCAAGGGGCCGACGCGCCATCGCGTCTTCCCCCTCTCCACCGCCTTCACACTGAACGGCGGAGTGCCTCAACCTCTCGCCGCCTACGAGCAGCAGTTTCCCAATACGACTGTACAATTTCTTGTCATACGTGAGTTCGTCATGCACCTTTGCCGTCCTGTGAACTTGTCGGTTCATCTATCGCGGCTTCTCGAAGCGACAGCCAGAGAGTGCGACGAACTTGGATTCAACACCATGTCAACATGGCATATTGGTGACTGCATTACCGAACTGAATTGGCGGTGGTCTAGTTGGTAAGCTGGTATGATGACGATCCTAATTGACCATCGGACAAGCATACACTCGGATTCTTCACGAACGGCATAAAGTACAACACCACGTCCAACTGGATCAAAACTTGCTAACTCGGATCTCATCGCATGCTCTGTTTCTTCCACATGACTACCGATGGTATCGACGCGTCGCTACCTCGAACTTGGCCCTGTCGATTTGGTTCATCAGATCATGTGTTGGTATGTCTACCTAATGCGAGACACAATGGAGCCCATAGTAGTGTCTGTTTCTCGGAATTTCAGCACCCACATGGGTAGCCTACTTGCGGCTTAGATCCCTGGTGTCCAGTGGGTGACTATCGTTGTCTTTAGATGGCGTCTAGCATCTTTTGAGCCTGAAAATCTGAAGACATCGGGAGGAGCCGATGTGTCGTCTTGCTAGAGCCGTATTTTCGTACACGGCGAGGTTGTTCGTCGAGTCTGCTTGCTAGGAGAATGTGAGGTGAAAGTCCCGTCATCTCTAGCAGAATCAGCTAACAACAGCCATGTCAGCCTCGAATCGATGGACAAGACCGAGGATGGCCAAACGATTGAGAGGACCCATGACCCAAGAACTACGTCTGATAAGTCATCTTGATTCCTCTTCCTCTCCGAGTTGCTGAGCTTTTGGACATGTACGGGCGAGCGGGAACCACTCGGACATACACGGAGCTGCATGCTATCAGGATTGTTTGCTTTTCCCTGTTAGACAGAAGCTTGGTGATTTCATTCCTAAGCCTGTGTTTTTCTATCCAAGCCCGAGCACTACGTGCAAAGCCCATACACCTTGAATGTCAGAGCAGCTGGAGGTCAGTCAAGTTATCCAGTATCCTTCGTCCATTGAGACCGTCGTCTAACATATCGCAATTGGAGGCGCAAGCAGGTCTTGCCAGCAAATCACCGATTCCTCTACGTCTCTGAGCTCACTGTGCTTTGACCATTTATGATGTATTTCTCCGCGCCCAAGACGATATCTAGCATATCACTGTTAAGCAATTCACCGTGAAGGTGGGTTTGATGTCTGTAACAGCACCACGAGAGCCCTCGGGTTGTAGGACCTCTGAATGTCCCGTACAGCCTATACGAATTATCTACCCCAATAAGCGCTTATGTTATATTTGCTTGGGGAGGATGTAAGCGGATGCCTGCTAGGGTCACACGTGGATAAGAACACCCCTGTACAAATCACTAGGTCCCGAATGCTGATTGGGGAGAGTGTCTTACCAGTTCTGATTTCAGATGGCTCGTTAGGCCCCGATCAGAAATCAATCATGCTATATCAGCAGCGGAGCATGATTTATTGCATGTAGTGGGGAATATGCCTCACGGAAGTAACGACCGTTTCTTCATCGCTGTAGTGGACTTCCACGAGAGATTGGTTGGATTTACTGGCGGGATATTATTCATAAAGTTGCGTCGGCTCCTACAGCGGATTTCGAAAACAGTTTACCCCCAAGACACACGTTTTCTTTCCCAGAGACCCGCAAGGACGTCTAGTCCGGATCGCTGGGTCTCAGATTCCCCCGCAGCCAATAATACGGTGTTACGCCTCAAGGAAAGTACCTCGGCTAGCCAAATCCAGATTAGCGCATTCTGAGTGGGGCGCTGGGAAAGAAAGCGTGTCTCTGGGGGTAAACTGTTTTCGAATCCTCTGTACGTGTAGAAGGAGCGGATCAGATATTCCCGAGCCAAAGCTACCAATGACATGTTAACCTCGAGACAAAGAAACTCTCACTCTCGCAATCGCTCTATGTTGTAGGCATTCTAGTGTACCATAGGTTCTAGTGACTAGCAATAGTCATCTCAAGCAATTTCTTTGGCGACGCAAGAAACTGAGCCTACCGCATAATCATCTTGAATTGAAGCCATGATTCGGATTTTCGAGACATATCACAGGGCTCTACACTTCGTAGTTCTGACCTTGAGTGAACAGTATATTGCGTGATCAGAGTTGCACAATTAGTTGGAGGCCGTAGTCAAGGTGTGACCAACAGGGATCAAAATTGCTTTGCGGAATCAAAAAAATGCAATTGAAGTTTCTAATGTGGGTATGGCAAGAAATCGCGCTGCCTCCATAAACGTTGACCACCCCTCCCTTCACCGACCGACAATTCACTACAACTGTTGAAATATCCCGTTTGCTGAGACAATAATGAGGCTGGGATCACGTGCATACATATATACCTGTTCACCAGCCTACTTGTATCTTAGACAACATGCAACACAACACACAATCAACTCCCCTCAATAACATGAACACTGAAGCGTCACTTAATAATCAACAGTTGCGGTGAAACATCACCGTTGTGGTCAATGGTCGGGCGGTGAAGGGAGCGGTGGTCAACGTCCCTCGGAGACTGCGTGTCACCCATATCATAGATGCATCAATTTGCATTGTTTCAATTCCGCGAGCCATTTCCTGTCCCCATCTGTTCACTCGGTGGAGCTGGCATACAGCCTCCAATTCATTGAGCTGGCCGAATGCAAAGCACCAGATTGCCCTCCAGGTTCGGGTATGATCAGGCAATACTGTTGTGATATGAGGCGGTGCAGATCAGGAACCAAGCCGCATCATCGGAATTAGCTCCAAGGTGTCTATATGGAAATCAACTTGGCCCCGTGTTGTATATATAGCCCTTTGTCCCCTTCTGAAGAAAGTACAATCAAGACAATTCCTCTGAACTACAGCAAATACATACGCTCAAGATCAAACCTACCAGGCGTAGAAGAAGCCTTTTATGAGAAGCCTTGGATGAGGTACCGCTCAAAACACCATTCGTTGGCCCAAAAAGCGTCGTGATACGATAGACTCTGTTCCTTGCGTAGTCAAAGTCATCGCTTCAGTCGGTGATTACAAGTCACTCGAATCTACTCTACTTCAGAATGCCTACATCCTAGAGCGATCGCGAGTGTGTAAGTAGCTTTGGACAAACATGCAAGCATGCAATCAAAAAATCTTGATCTGCTCTTTCTAGATATGTGAGCTGTTAATATTGGCTCTGTTGGCGGGTGGCACGGGTTCAAGCAGCTTTCCGTTTATTGTTCTTCGAAGTCAGCACCGGAAGGGTTGACAAGATGCTGGGCTGCTGAGTTAGGGGGTACTGGACACACTGTCAACTGTGTTAACCAGGGCCCTGTCCAGACGGAGCTCATGGACAATATTCCCGAAGAGACGATTGAGATGCAGAGGAATCAGACCCCTATACAGAATAGGATAGGCACCGTGATGGATATCGCGCCGGTAGTGGTTTGGCTTGCTAGTGAAGAGAGCAGATGGATTACTGGCTAGGTAGTCTCGGCTAGTGCGGGGTGGGCGATGTATTAAAGCTGGATTGTTGGATTACTGTCGTTTGAATCATGCTAAACTCATGTGCCCTGAAGTATTATAATAGAATCAATGAATATCCATCGAAAGCAGTTTGTCTTGAAAGTCGATGTAATCTACACAAGGAAAACCCCAACTCTACTCAGTGTTGGGCTGAATGATCAACCTCTCCGCACTCGTACCTCCCTGTCTGAGGAGATCCCAAGCTTTCTGAGCCTGGCTCAACCCCCCAATAATCCGAGTCGGAAGCGCGTGCATCCGATCCTCCGCCAGCACCTGTTCCAGATACTCCCACCACACCCATCTAGTGAACTCCGCATTCGCCGGGTCCAAGTAATCGTCCAAAAACTGGGCGAAGAACCCTGTGACCCCATCCGGCAGACTCACACCAGCTCTCACACCCGTGGTGGATAAAAACGTGCCACCGCCTTGCGCAGCCAAGACAGCGCCAATCGTCCCCTGATCCCTCGCCGAGTCCGCCGCGGCAAGGACAGAATGATACGGCCCGAGCGCAATCAGAGCTTCAGTGGCAGAATCCTGGGTCCTGTCTACAAATTCAGATGCGCCCAGAGATTTGACCAGTGCGACATTCGATCCGGACGCCACGCCCACGACTGAGTACCCGGCGCTGGCGGCTATCTGGACGGCAGCGGCGCCGAACGAGGAGGACGCTCCCCAGATTAGGATCTTCTTTGGCCTGTTGAGTGGATTTGGAGAGGAGCCAGACCTGTCTAGGTTTAGATGGAGGAGAAGTGCACTGATCGCGCCGTAAAGGTTAGAGGCGAGCGCGGCTGATTTCTCGAAAGTTGCTTCGCCGATCTAATTCAGACGGTATCAGGAGACCGAGAGCCAGCAGCGGAAAAAGAAAAGGGACGGTTAACAAAGACCTTTGCCGTCAGCTGTTGTGTGGTGAGCGCATACTGCTGCAGGGCTCCGAAGCGCGCATCATTACGCAGCGTTCCTGCACTGTTCGTCACGACTAAGTCTCCTATCCGGAAACGCGTGACGCCGGGGCCAGTCTTGACTACTCTTCCGGCGAAGCACACTGCTTTACGATTAGCAAGCCACTTTTGTGCACAGACCTATTTTGGGGCCGCCACGTACAGCCAATGATTGTGGGATATGTCAACGGAAATGGAAGGACACCATCCTGAATTTTGTATTCGGCCGGTTGAACGGCTACAGCTTCAGTCTTGGAAGGTGATCTTTCTTAGCCCTGTGGCGAGGTACACATGTCCTTTACATCGCCTACCTGGATAAGGAGCTCATCTTGTCCCGGTTCAGAAAAGGGCGCCGGGCGGAGCTCTAGTTTCGCCCCGACAGCAGGGAGCCAGGCCGCGATGTTTTGCCTCTCTAACATTATTGGTGAGAAATTAATGGAAATTGAGGAAGAGTGATTGGGAATAAGCGACAAGAGACGAGATTTGAGAAGAATCCAACTGTATCGGAGTAAAGCACTGCCACGGCTAGTGTCTCTCCCCTTTTATATCCCTCTGTTTCCGTTTTGAGTTTGCTTTCTATTTAGTCGGGGATTCGCTAGTTATTTTGTCAGCGATCTAGACCGCGGAGGGTCCCACTAGCATCTGCAGCTGAACCGCTTGTAGTACAGTTTGTATCGATCGAGTATTCGTTACGGTACACATTGCCAAGGTGAAAATTATCCGTAATTCATACTAAGAGACAGCATTGGTAAGTGTCGATTCCAAGAGATACGGTACGCGCTAGTTCTACAATAGACCAATAGTCGGCCTAATAGCATAGAATGAGTGTAATTGTTAGAACTAGCTAGTTGGGCGAGTATTTGACCCTTTGTGGGCTTACCAAGCATGAAATGCGTGGCAAGCAGCTTGGCAAGAAGCTATCTATAACGTAGCAAATGAGTAAGCAAATGGGTGCTGTAAAGCTCGGCAAGCTAGTAATGTAAGGACCCCTCTTTATTCGACAGTAAGTAATGTATCTCATCCAATGAAAATCCACGCTCCGAAAGTGGAGCACCCCTACCATGGGCACCAATTGCTACTTGGGCAAAGAACGAATCATCGATCCTATAGTAATTATTCGTCTTTCACTACCTGTGGATTACTGCCTTAGTCATCCGGAACAAGGTCACGTGGGTAAATGTTCGGAACTTCTGTAGCAAGAACTCGGAAGGCGATTGAAAAGTACTACAATACCTACTCTCCACTATTTCTGCAGTCACTGTGAGTATTCTCCACTGTTCTCTGATAAGGTAAGGCCATCGGTCCTGGACCTTAGACGCCCACCGCCTCGTAGAATGGGCCATCGAACGAGTGTCTCCTCTGCTCCTTTGTTTAAGCTAGGCTCACATACAGTCAGGCCATATCCACAGCCACTGCTCGTCACCTCTTCCGTCGTCGCTTATCGCACGCCGGTCAACCGTAAATCCCGCAATCCCACTCCCCACTTCTTCCCATAACAATTTCCATCGCAATACTGCGACCGCACTTCCCACTTCCACGACTAGCATGGCTAGTGGGTCCTTCGCTAAGCTCTTGACGTACGTTGAGTACCTTTCCCTGAGACGTAGTTTAACTTAGTGTCCCCAGGAACGAGGAGTATAAGCAGAAAGTTGAGCATTCGGTGGAGCCCGTTGTGGTCACTTTCCTTTCCCCTTTGGACGATAAGTGCAAGGCGATTGTGTCGAAGATTGAGGAGCTACGCAACGAATTCACAACCGTCAAGTTCTACCAAGTCGACGTCAGAAAGCATGCCATGCTCTCCAGTGCCCTTCTCAACACGAAATTGCCCGTCATCGTCTTTGTCAAAAACGGTGTAGACTTATTGACCCTAGGCTCCGATGTTTCCCTTTCAAGTATTCGGGAAGGCCTCCAAGCGCTTCAAATGGCATCTTAATGAAAGTCGTGTGCTTGGTTGCTATTACAGCAATATATTTGAAATCAGATACAGTAGAATTTGAAAACAGTTTACCCCCAGACACTCACGCTTTGTCTCTCGGCCCGTATCCGAAGCGACGCTAGCCCATATGAGGTTACATTGAAAATAACCCCTGTCGAGCAGTATGTAAACGTATCAGACTGTGATGTCCTATGGGTCATTGTAAATTGTTATATTGTCGCATGGAAAAGTCTGGGGAAGGAGCTAGAAGGGGTGGTTATATTTGCCATCTGGCTGATCCACGCCTACGCTCACTTCCTTGTTTCTGATACCGCGTCATCTTCGTCAAACCATCCAAATTTAATTCAGACTGCTCCAACCAACTCCAGATTTCTGCCTTGCTCTTAGACCTCTGCCCGGGGCTCACGCAGAAGTAAAGAGTTTGCTGCTGGTAGCAGTGTGAGCACCACGGTCGAGCGTGATCACAGAGGGGGAACGGAACGGCCCCCAATTCACAGTACCCAATCATTGTGTGATTTGAACCCTGCACAATGCCACGTGTGCACTCATGAAATGCCCCTTCGCGTCCAACATTTAATTGCGGGGTGCTTCCTGCTTCTCGCTTCAATTTGGGGTTCAAAATTAACTACTCTTCAGGATCTACTGGGTTTAGCTCTTGAAATTGTACTTTGAAGGCTGCGTGGCTGAGTACATGTTGGGCCTTCATTTGGATCGGCATCACCACTAAATGGGGCTGCGGCTTTCTGTTCAAGGTTACATAGAAGGCCACACCCCAAGGCAATACCATCAATCATTCTGAAAATTATCTCACCCAGCGTATGTATGATCAATTTCATGTGGTCACATATGATACTAATGGTGATCCGCAAAAGCAGACAAAGATCCCTGTTCTACAGAACACACTCCAGTCCATTGGTCTCACTGGCACCATTCAAAAGTTGTGGGGCTGCAGATACCGCATCTGATAACCCCGATCGACTACTAGTACTCATGGACTGGCTAAGAAGAATATTTGCGGGCAAGAGTGCAGACGATATCGCCGCAAGAAATAGGAGGAAACGTCAAAGCAAAATCCACAGTCAACGAGTACGAGAGCGCGAAACGGAATTAAGGCTGGCCCGAGATGGCGGTGGTGCGAAAAGCGCACGTCTATTTTGGGGCCCTCCGGGGGAAACATACAGCAATGAAAAACGGGGCAAACGACCTAAAGAGTTGCCTACTAGTGGACTTATGAGGACGAGCCACTGATCCGCGGATTCTACGGATATCATTACAGTACAGAATGTGAAAATAATGAATAGTCTTCCGAGGTTGAACTCTGTACCAGGTACAGTTTCGTATATCGAATGTCGTATGTCGTTTATCGTTTATCGTTCGAATATCCATGGGTAGCACTCCACTTTCATTAACCTACAACACCCTGGTCAGGTCAAAACTTGGTATTGAGACCAGTGCGTTGCATATCGTGGGGAGCCAAGACTTTGATGTAGCTTTACGAACTGATTGTGAAGAGATTGCAGGCATAGTCAGCTGTTGGTGTACATCGAAGGGACCCTGGAATCTTTGGATTCCAAGTCTTAGCCTAGTTGAAGATGCCAGTTTGATTCACTATATATTATATTCCTACCATTTTCTGCGGCCACTGCAATGCTGATTCCCACTTCTCATTCTGGTCCTTCAGCTCACTCAATAACTCAGCGACTAGTGCCTTCCCGCAGTCCTTAGCCCACCAAAAGCGGGCCCCTAATTCATTTAATAAAACTGCCCAATTCATGAGGATGAACAACTGGAATGGCTGCCGTGTGCGCAACCCATCCACAAATTCCCTGTTGGCGTAGGTGAGCCAAGCTATGATAGGTGCGGGATGCGGCGCATGGGTGAATTTAGCAAAGGAGTCTTGGAGGGAGTCGATAGCTTCCTGGTTGATGCGATGTTGTGCCGGGTCTGTATTCTCGTTTGGGCTATTCAGCATTCGCAATTGTGCGATAGCATTGGCCATGTCTGGATCCAGCACAGTATTCTCTCTCCAGTCGTATTTGAAGAATATGCTTGGCTGCCGCCATGGTTTGCTAATTTGTGATATCTTACTTGCTCCCTGCAGCAGCTCAAAAACTGCCATCATAGTTTCGATCATGTTGCAGGATTCACTGCGATGCTGAGCATTCAGCCGAGGGAGTGCTATGCCAATGATAGTGACAATCGCTGACTGGGCAAAGGCGGCGTCGCAGTTGACAGGGGTCAGGTGAGCCAATGCTTCTCTGAAGGGGGCAAAGGCAAGTTCATTGCACTGTAGTGCGGTGTCTAGGTAAGTTAGGACATGTTCTGGGTCCGCGGTGGTGGCTGCCATGTGAAGCGCGGCGATGGAAAAGATGCCATGTAAGAGAAATTCATGTTCGAAAGCAAGCTTAGGGATGAGGACCTGCCAACCCTCCATGTCAGATTGGTCGCCGCAGATGCTTTTATAAGTTTCGGTTGAGAATTTGTGCATCAGCAACAGATGCCGGGCATCATATTTTGGTGATATCAGAACTGGCATGGCCGGTGGTTTGGCGTTGGGTTTCGGATAGGCCTCGTTTCGGGAACCTCTTCGGGGATGCGGTGTGCTATAGATGCAGGGTAGCCCCCGAGCAGTACATGCACTACATATCGGCCGTGTCTCGTCACACTGGTGTTGTCAGCATTTGGTCCGCCCAGCCCTGGAGATGGAAGACGACGGACAGATATAAACCCACCTTGACACGCCGCTCCTTGCATTGATTGCACCCGTTTTTGGACTTCCTGTGAAATCTACGAGGCATGATCTGATCTCGTATTCTGTAGATATGGAGGGTGTCGGAGAATACGGGAATTGGGAGAGTTGGGAGCGGGGAACGAGGAACGAGGAACGAGGAACGATAAGCGATAAACGATAAACGATAAACGATAAACGAAATACGAGACAAGACCAACAAAGGATTAGTGGCATATATATCAGCCCCGGAGGGCTCTTACGAGTAGATCTTGTTCTGCATTTTTATCTTGAAAATTCGATACCATTCAAAATGTCGGCTATTTGCACAGAAACTACCCCCCAATGCCCCGTCGAAGCGACCACATACGGCTACTATCCCAATCTTGGCGGCAACATCTTTTTCACAGCTTATTTCGGCCTCCTTGGATTTTGTCAACTAGGCCTCGGTATATATTTGCGAACGTGGACTTTCCTCGCAGCTCTTGGTATTGGAACATTCATGGAAGGTGCTGGATACGTGGGACGAATCCTCATGCACGACAATCCATGGTCAACGTCCGGGTTTCGACTACAGATCTTCTGCCTGATTCTCGCTCCAACCTTCATTGCCGCTGGGATATATCTTACCCTTAAGCACGTAATCATCCATTTTGGACCACAATACTCGCGCATGAACCCGAAGCGTTTCACCTGGATATTCATTGGGTCCGATGTCGGGTCCATCGTTTTGCAAGCAGCTGGTGGAGGCGTGGCCAATGCAGCCGGGACCAACCAAGCCATGATCAATACGGGAAATAATATCATTATTGCTGGAATTGCCTTCCAAGTTGCCACAATGTCGGTGTGTGGGTTACTGGCATTTGACTTCTTCATTGCATCTAGGAAGCATCTGCGCGACGGCCCCCAAAGAGAAGCCGTGACTGAGAAGCCACAACAAAGAATGTGGTTGGTACTGGTTGCAATGATTGCGGCCTATAACATGGTTCTCATTCGATGTATTTACCGGTGAGCTCGTCCAATTCCATATAACACATGAAGTTATCACTAACTCTATCTAGTCTGCCTGAGATGGCGGGTGGATGGGGGAACAAGCTGATGCAGAACGAAATGGAGTTTTAAGTTCTTGATGGAATGTATGTCAAACGCAAAGCTCTCTCCCATGTGCCGCTGATAATAATACATGTAGGATGATTGCTCTGGCCTGTCTGGTACTTACAGTCGTCCACCCGGGACTATATCTCCCTACAATGGGGACAGGACGGGCCCATCGATAACTCAATTTGATCCATGCCGTGCTTTGTTACTCTGTGTCCTCTTGCGTACAGGTCTGATTATTCTGTTTTAATAGCGACACTGGACACTAGACATTATCTCGAGTTATTAACATTTGCACGCTTATGACATGTACACAAGTGGTCATGCCCCATGCCAAGCCCTTTGACATCCTTTCGTCTGCGTCCAGCTATCACCCGACATTAGAGAACCTGCTCTCCTGAAGGAGAAAAATTCCTCCATCTCGGTCGGTTTGCGAGCTCCAGATTTTTAGAATGAATGATTTCACGTTATCCGGGATTCCAGAGCGAACCTTATCCACGGCGTAGAGCAGTGCTTGACGCAATCTAGATGACTTGGACGCTATAAGATTTGCGCCTGCGATCACTGCTTTGAGTGATCTTGAGAAATCTTTTAATTCTAAGGACATCAACTGGAAGCCTGTGGAGAAGCTACGTAAATGGAGCAATTTGTTTTGTATGGGCAAAAAACTTAGGATTGTTATTGCCTTCAATTATGGGCATGATGATGATGATAAGTCAATGCCTGCATCAGGAAGGGTCGAAAAGAGACGCCGAGTGTCCGCAACTAGCAGATTGTTGGCTGAGCGTGAGGCACATATTAATGCGAAGGGAGCGACTACAGGACGACCTCCAACTTAGAGTCTTGTTTATGATCGTATGCGATGCGATGTCCACTCATGTCCGCTAAAAATGGAGGTGGGAGGACCGGAAGGACAATAAACATTACAAACTCAGGGCTCCACATCTTGAACGAGTCGTTCAGAACGACTCATTGACTATGTCGATGATGGTAGCCTAGATGGTCATGATGACGTCCGTAATGATATCCGTCGAGACCTGGTTCTGGAAAGCCAGATGGGAAGATCCAAAAAGGCTAATACTTCAGCATCTGGATTAACATATCCTCTGATCAGTATCAATGTTCTGCCATCACAGATGGTGCGTGCTTCCACTGAACTTTCGTCCCTGCCCAGGCCTTCATCTGACGAGCGTCTCGTAATTCCTGGACCCCGTGAACCAGCTGTGAGGGAATAATGCTATGGCTGGAATCATGCGCTACTGACGAGGCGCATAAAGCTGATTTTCTGAGAATATGCCAGGTGGCCTTGGAGAATCACCTAGACCTTAAACTGATACTCGTGGACCCAGACTCTGGCTTCTTCGTTTAGCACGTTGTCAAATTGGGAACAGCTCGTCGCTTCTTACGCGATATCAATGAATGGGCTGCTGGGATGAAATCAAACATGCCATTGGAGAACACTGTTGAATTTCTTGGCAGTGCCGAACATACTTGACAGCCATGTTTTCCTATCTGTATCCCCAGGTGTGGGTGGCACCACAGAGGGTTAATTGACACTGTGGTATAAGGGCGCTATGCAACATCCGATATTGGTTTATCAGGCCGGGCATCATTACCGTTGTTTGGAACCCAACTGGTCAATTTCATAGCTAAGTTTAGGAGTTGCAGAGCAGGTCTCGCAATATTCAAGCAGCAAACCATCGAATTTGCTTCGTCAGTTTCAGAACTAGTGAGATGTACACCTCATTATCCTTCGGGAGTTTCACCACCCTTTCGGATCAATTCCTCATATGCCTTCGTCTTTTCCTTGTTGATTCCAACAGGGTTATTCTGGGTACTAGAGTAAACCCGTATTATTAACCATACTACATTATCGTAGCCTTTTCCCTTGATTTCACCACTCACGCTCTAAGCCCAGCAGTAACTCTGGTTAAGTCTTTGTTTTGATCACCTCCAGCGTTGTATAGCTCTTTGTGGGGATGGTAACCAACAGCATCTTGATCTTGATCAGGAACAGCTTGAGTGCGTCCCTTCCCCTCATCTGAGACGTTCGAGTTGTTCAACGATCTGTCATTGGAAACTCTGATCTTAGCGTTTCCCATCCACAACCAGCCTTATGCTAGGTAGCCCACTCACGTCTTGTGACCGCTCATAGGATCAAAATGCCTTTGGAGTTGAGAATGGTGATATACTGATGTCGAATGTTGTTCGGCAGTTGACTCCGACGATAGTCAGTTATAATATTCAACGATGTGCAAATATGGAAATTGTATTTCCCGGAATGAATTATGAGCGTTACATTGTGACATGGGCGTCATTTCGTCATGCTACCGTCATTTACGTAGCGTAAGCCGCCACATGGACGGAGTCAATTGATTTATTCTTCAAACTCCCACGACCTTGGGGTCATATGCAACCAGCCTCTAGGCATGCCGGCTATTGGGGTGGTCGTATGTAGATCGCCCCTCTCTGCTTGATGTAATTTGTTTAATGGTCAGACACTGGGTGTATTAGATTGAACAGTCGTTAGCCATTAGTTGCTAACAATGACTCACATCCTATTGGTGGCGAAAAATCGTAGAAATGGGCATGTCCAGGCTCGGGAAAGCGCATATGCAATAATATTGGTTATCAGGGTGTAAAAGACGTTGTCAGCACGGTTAGCCGACCTACAGGTATTTAACCACAAGATTTGGCACAGATAATCCAAGGTCTTATAGATCCTTAAGTATACAATCCACTTTCTTCCCATCTGACAATGCAGAACTTTCGCCATGTGAGACTTACCCCGGGCGCACAAACAGGCCCTTTGATCAGTCTCTACCGCCATCTACGTGACTTGGTTCTTTCTGGGAATCAGACCAAGTTATTCCAAACCAGGTCCGAAGGTCTAGCGACACAGACAAAAGGCTCTACAAATAATGGAACAGAAGCACCAAATGCCGATCTAAGCAGGGACGGTTCAAAGACCCAGGAAGGTAAGATATATCTCGCTCTTCTTGTCTGGAATTACGCAGTCGCATTGGAGTCCACGTAGCTGACGAAGATCTGCAATTCAAATACATAGAATCGCCCAAGCCCTCTCCTGCCGCAGCTGGAATAACAAAAGGGCATGAGAAATACTATAGTCTCAAAGCGCACCGTCAAGGACCAAATACTGAGAGTGGAGAACTTAACCCCGATGTTGAATCGAAACAAGTGAAAGATCATAACAAGGCCACGGCTAACCGCTACGAAAAGCGTTGACTGCCTCAAATTACCTCCAACACTTCATTTTACGTCTGTTACAGTTTTATTAAAATGTAACTGTTTTGTGTTTACGTGTGTCTTCTCACAACAGGCGATATGCAGAATGCCACGACTAAGCATATCTGTGTTTGGTGCTAGCTTGATAGGATCAAGGGTTGATATCATTCTGATGTGATTCGCACCGCCTATCAGTGGATCTGATGAAACAGCCGGGCCATTCTCATTTGTCGGATAGTATTACCGTGATTCGGCTGTCTTGTACCCCACACTTACACCCGCCAGACTCTTCGTTTGCGCTTGTGTGTAAGAAGACAACTTAGCGATGGGATATCTCCATTAAAGGCACACACTTAATAAAATCAAAATATGGCCGGCGAGGAATTTCCTTTATGGGAAACGATTCCTCCATGGGGATCGCTACCTGTCGAACAATACTTGATTGTATGATACGCACTTTCCCCATTTACACTGACCGTTTGTTAACCCCTCAATAGAAAAACTGGAATCACTCCTCAACCGACGCACCCAGCCAGCAGCGGCGGCGACTAATCTATAGGTTTCTTGAACGTGATGAGATCACCGAAGAATTTCTTCTTGATGAGCGCCCTCCACGAATGCCCACGCCAGAGGAGATTAGTCTTATTCTTCACCCCTGGCGATCCGATAACGTCATTCGTCGGAAGGCATACTATATGTCCAAGGATAGCGTGCTTGTTTTTCTTCGGACCCATTATGACCCGGAAGATGATGGCAAAGTGAACGAATGGGTCTATGAAACCGATCTGTTCGAGGACAACTCCTGGTGGGCATGTCTCAACGATCCACACCTGTTCAATTTCGGCTCAAATTGGCAGCGGGTATACGAAATCATGCCCGAGGTAGCCAGTTTCGTTGATCGTACTCAACGATTCGCTCCTTCAAGAGAACTACACTGTTTTCGAGCATCGTTAAAAAAGAATCCACCCACGAAGGAACAAAAGGCGGCCCATGAGTGTATAGACAAGCGGAGGAAGATGTCTGAGGAGTCAGAGAACCGTCTACGTGATATCAACATAGCGGCATATATTGTTATTGCTGATCAAGAGGCTTTTCGGTCTGGGCTGTTACGTCTTCTCTGTTTGGATGATCGACAAAACATTATTCGGGAGGTACGCGTGGATCAGAAGCCAGCTGAGATCACGGAACTTATCTTGCAGAGGGACCCTATCCTCGGACTGTGAGGTTAAATGGAGGGGGTGGGGTCGATGGGAGTGAGCGTTTGCGCTGACGATCTGAGAAATTATTCATTACGGTCCCGTCCTCAGGTAAATGATATCCATCAGCACGTATGTTGGGCAACTCTGCGGGCAGACTCTTCCGTATACCTAAGGCATATGGTAAGCAGTTGTGTAAACTAAGAACTCATACAGCGTCAACGTGTTCCACAAGTTGATCGAATGCAACAAGTACACCATATTGTACTCCATCAATTCCAATTTTCAACCTTAATTAGTAGCCGAACCGGCCTCACGCACATAATTACCGCAATAGCTACTGAGATGTCAAGCATAGTCAATATTAACATGAATGAAGGTTCCGCTATCTCCTTGGATGCTAATGTTAAGGAATAAATGATGTTGGTCTCTATGAATGGGAAGGAGACAGCAAGACATGCCGGCATTACGCTTGATCAACTAGAGTACGTAGTAACCAAACTTGGGACTAGGGTCTCTTCGAGATTAGCCTTTTCTAAATTCCCTTTGTAATTGACCTATTCGAGACAACTTGATTCATCGAAGAGCATTCGCACAATACCCTAATGGTTCTTGACCTCCCCGCTTACCCTGACTTGAGCGACTAAAACCCATGGTCGTGCCGCTAAGTTTCAATATGTGCTGGCAAGATGATTTAGGCGATGGAAAGGCTTGGACTGTCGCATGCCCACCAGGGAGTACTCTTCACATGACGAGACTGGTCGCACAGGGCCCTTTCGATTTAGTTACTCTTCATCGTAGTCATCCGGAAAATCGGCCCGCTTAAAGCTGTCGACAGATTGAAGAAGTGGAAGCTTTTGTATTGTTAGTCGCAAACCTCCTTGTTGTTCATCACCACCCCTTTGGCCAACGAAAAAAATGCCGAAGTTCCAGATGCCACATTATACTAATTGCTTGATGGGTGTTTCGGTTCATGCAGGACAGAAGACATAGCTTCTAGAACGTTCTACAGATAGACAAAGAGCAGCTTGCCGGTTGACAGGAGAACATACTCTCTTGTGACAACACTCAAGAGAACACAACCACGGATCGGGATTTAGCCTACCATTCTGTCGCCAAAGTGTGCGTGATATTCCAAATACCCGACCTGTCCCAGCAGTACCACCTATAACTGCCATCAAGTCTGAGGTTGTAGCTCGTGTCTGGACCTTTGCAAATCCTTCCACTTTCTTTTCCGGGCCATAAATAGAACCTACTTGATCTACTGTCTCGTGGGTCGTCGCTGGGACCTGCATCGCAGAACCGTACCTGCGTCTGTCTAAATTCGCGCGTGGTGTTTGATTGGTCCGTCTGGTGCTATTTGTCCCCAGGGTCGCATCAATATGATAGTAGCGTTGCAATCTCGCGAAGTGGGTGGCGATCACGAGAACCTAGCTCGTGAGCCTTGGTAGCTGCAACAGTTCACATGATTGTCCTGGAAAATAGGCTCGGTTTCCTATGCGAAGCGTTCCAATAAGGTCCAGATTTTGGTTACGCGCCCCCCAAAGACAATCCTCATCCTGCGTTTGAGAGTATGTCAGTCTGTGCGGCCAGGGAGTAGAGATTCTAGTACAGGCAACATTAGCTGTCTGCGAGTAGACAGGAAAGAAACAACGTTCAGCGGCGCGGGGCTAGGGATGGACAGAAATGATTCTAGCGAGACCAAAGAGTCCTCCGGCCAACCGCAGATACAGTTCAGCGTTTGTGTCGGCCACAAAGTCTTCAACCCATTATTTCAGCATCTGTTGACGCACTTCAACCCCCATGGAAGAGACGGTGACCGTGGCTAAAACGGGCAGATGTGGTGCCACCGCGTTGAGCGATTTAATTGCAAATTCAATGATATGTAAGAATCATATTTTTGCGGCGTTACTTTCATTTCAACAGTTGTTCAAAGTGGTTCACCACAATCAACGCACGATTTTGAGGGTTGAATCCGGGCCGAAATTTGGGTCTGTAGACCACAAAGTCACCAAATACCATTTCAACGTTGTTTAACTCGCTTCAACGCTTATCAACGAGACAGTGATTCTCGCTACCATCTGCGCAATTGGTTCCTTGGTAGAAACGCAGCCGAAAAAATATAAAAGGGGCCAGATTCCCAGCCCAAAAAACTCAGGACTTCGGTCCTCACACTTTGATGCATCATAGTGTCCCTCTCTTGCCTGCGGGCTTGAGAGCTCCCGTGACCACGGCTGTCGCTGCCACGAGCCCCGCGAGCGTAAAAAGGTGCTTCGTAGGACAAGCTCTGCGTCAACAAACATAATTTGCAGGGGATTGCTGTGTTAACAAGGCCTCTAGTGATGTGCAGGCACCTCTTCGTGGTGTTAGGGACCAGTATTCGAGTATTCCAAGAGTATTCGAAGAATCAAAGACCTGCCTAACATCCTCATCATCTTTTTCTTAATCCGAAGGATCATTGGATAGATAGAATGAGCCCTAGACAGATCATCCCAAATTCAATGGCCAAAATTATAAAATAACAACTGTCTCATTTTTATCAAAGGGGGTGTTCCCAATTGTACTGCATTGATACTTTGCGGTCCGGTAGTCCCTTCGCCGTAATGGAAATGGCACCCTTCATTCAGGCGTAGAGCAAACATGTTGGTGAGTGTTGATGAGTGTTGATGAGTGTTGATGAGTGTTGATGAGTGTTGATGAGTGTTGATGAGTGTTGATGAGTGTTGATGAGTGTTGATGAGTGTTGATGAGTGTAGTGTAACATCTGTTGAATATCCCGGTTAATGAAATGATCATGGGGCTGGGATCACGTGTGTACATATATATACCTGTCTACTAGCCTACTTGTATCTAATACAACACACACAATCAACTCCCTCAATAATATGAACACTGAGGCATCACTTATCAATCAACAACATCACTGTTGTGGTGAATGGTCGGGCGGTGAAGGGAGGGGTGGTCAACGTCATAGAGGCAGCGCGGTTTCATGCCATGTCACCCACATTATAGAAACTTAAATTGAATTTTTTGATTCCGCAAAGCAATTTTGGTCCCTGTTGGTCACGCCTTGACTACGGCCTCCAACTCAATTGAGATGATCTAATTCCAGATTTGTTCAACTATGATCATGCAATATACTGTACACTCAAGATCAGAACTACGAAGTGTAGAGCCATGTGATGAGGTCTCGCTCGAAAACACGAATCGCGGGCAAACATTATGATGCGATAGGCTCTGTTTCTTGTGTAGTCAGAGCCGTTTCTCTACATGGATATTGCGTGTCGCTCGAACCTACCTTATAATAAAATTCCTACATTCTAGAGTGAGAGTTGCTTTCGCTCGAGATCAACATGTCATTGGGAGCTTTCGCTCGGGAATATGTGATCCGCTCCTTCTACATGTAAGAGCCGTCGCATCTTTGTGAATAATATCCTGTCAGTAACTACGATTCATAGTCCAACCAATCTCTCGAAGAACTCCACTCCGGCGATTAAGGCGACGGGCATTACTATTTGTGGACGATTCCTGAGTCATGCGATACAGCATGCTCTGCTGCTGATATAGTTTAAGTGCGATCGGAGTACAACTAGCCATCTAGAACCAGAACTGGTAAAGACACTCTCCACGATCGCCGCTCAGGACCGGGTGGTATTCGCACAGGGGTGCTCTAATCCACATCCGGCCCTAGGGCGTCCGCTGAAATTCGTCCTCAAGCAAATATGGCATAAGGGTTTATTACAGGTAGAAAATAGTAGGCTACCCCATGTGGGTGTTCAAATGCCGGGAGACAGACACTGCTAT